TTTTTCAGCAGCTAGCGAAGAGACACGAAGACTAATGGTGCCAGGATATAAGTGATTCTTGAGTATGAAACGTCCATGTTTCCCTTAGCCTCGAGCATCTGCCACGAGAACCTCTCTCTCGTCACTCCCCGCTGCAAATCAATCTCACCATGACTGTGATGATCCATGATGCCTCCTCCGAACTGTACACGCTCTCCCACAAGGCACTAATCACGTTTGCCTTGTCATGCATCAGTATTCCACCAAGTTGTGCAGAGCCAGCCAGTCTGTCCGCCGTTCGAGAACAGCTGCTGTAGCGTAAACTAGTCTTCACTAAGCTGGTGCAGCAGAGTGGTCGCCAGATTTTTGTGTCAGTTCTTGAAGAATGGTTCTTGTTGTAGTTGACGTTGTTACTTAACCAGTGGCGAAGCGTGGATAGATTGCTGCAACACCGATTACACTTTCTAATCTTCTTTCTTTCTTTTCTCAATATCTGATTATGCCATTTAGGCGTTGCAGTTCATCAGAAGATAGCCGATCGAGCCAGGGTGTGCTCGGTCGCTTGATATGCCGTGATGTTATGCAGTCTGAAGGTGTCAGTGACTCCTTCAATCCATATTCTTCTCGGTCTTCCCCTGCCTCTTGATGTTTTGATGTTAATGTTGTATGCTCTTGCTGCTGGCATCGTTGGTTTCATTCTTATTAGATGGCCAACCCATTTTATTCTTTGTTTCTCAATAAATTTGAAGGTGGGTGTTGTTCCAATAGTTCTTGTGATCACGTGGTTTCTCACTCGATCTCTTCTGGTTTTATTCACAGCCGTTCTGAAACATTTCATCTCACAGCTGTTTCTTTTGTGTTCTTTTGTCAACGTCTGACATTGGTAACCTAAAGTCGGTATAAATATTGTATTTATGAATTATGTCTCTATTGGGATAGCAGGGTGTTTTAAAATTGGAGCAAGTTGGTACCTGACATTGTTAGCTTCTTTCCAACTCACATCTATTTTACAACTGTGTTTAAAGATGCTTCCCAAGTATTTACTAATCAAATTCTTTCCATTGTCGAAGAAAAATTATTTTACTATTTATTATTACTGTTTAACTACTTATTACAAGTAAACAGTGAGGGATGGAGAGTGAGAAGCAGCAACGAAATTCAAAATCTGTTTAAATCACCACTGATCACTGGAATCATGAGAGCTAACAGACTGAAATGGCTGAGGCATAACTAACTGACGAAGCAAATGAGCACAAACACATACTGCACAAATAAATTGGGTAGATAGATTACACAGACGGCTGGAAATGACTGTGTGGGTTGCGGGGTCCCTTGTGGGCAGGACAAAAATATACCCGCACGCCTCCCATACAAGCACGTCATAGGAGTCAACTAATTGGGAGCTTCCTTCCAAGTTGGAGTCCATCTGATCCAGCGGCAAAGAACAACCAGCTGCACACAAATAAGCTAGTAAAACAAATATACATGCACAAAGAAGGGCCTAGCACAAAGCCAAAATCCAAACGAAGGAACAAACAACCAGGACTTTCAGCCAGAGGTTACAGCTAACGAATAGAGTAGAAAAAATAAAAAACAAAACCAAAATTATTTATAAATTTTTTAATTACAGCTTTGCAAAAATATCGGCAGTTTCATAGTCATCAATGAGGTAAAATAAAAATAATGAATATAGCAGTGTAACACTAAATACTAAAGAAAAGAAAACAACTATGTACACACACAATGGGGGGGGGGGGGGGGGGGGGGGGGGGGGTGTGTGTGCAGGGGGTGGGACAGTCCTAGCATAAGAGTTATCTGACTCCACACACAAACGCACAAGGCTGGAAACAACTCTCACAGTGCATGTCGCTTCTGTTCATCCCTAAGTACCGAAGAACGCAAGGAACAGCACTAACAACACAACTGTACATACACACTTCTCTCATAGAGCTATCATGTTAGTTCATCTCTCGGGGAATGGGGAGGGGAAGGGATCTGGGTGTCTCGAGGCATGGCGTCCGCCTCAGGTGCTAGAGGTCCTGGGTTCAAGCCCTGGTGAATGCTGGGATTTTTTCACTTGTACCTAGTAATTTCCCCTGGTCACTCAGTAGTTGAAATACAAATTCCTTGGCAGTTGGAAATCGAAAAGAGCTGCCTATCAACGATGCCTGTCAAAATTTCAGGGTCGTCGCCGGTGCTACGAAGTTCGTGCACTACGCTGAAATTCTTCGGACTCGGGCTTGAGTTAAGAGAAGAATGGAGCACTTATGGGTAACTACCTTTTGCCACGATGCTGATGCGTTGCTCAAACCTTCCACACTCGGTACCTGGGTGGGGGGTATGGGACAATATTCACACATATATGTGTGGTGTGGGTGCAGCCGTCACAGTGCATGTCATGTCAGTTCATGTCCCAGTACTGGGCAAAAGTTGGGTGCCTCTCCTTGACACCAAGCCCCAGCTGTTGCTGCATGTGATTTCATTAGGCAGTTTCACACTCAGTTGTGTGCCCCTGCTGTCTGACTGGCCAGCTCTCAATACCACTATCAAGACAAAGGCAAGGCCGACTTGCACAGGAAAGTTAGAGATAGTGAAGAGGGGGGTAGGGGCATACATGAGACATACACAGCAAAGAATGACAATTCTTACAGTACACATATCATCCTAGCTAAACTCTTAGTACTGATGTGGAGCGGAGGATGTGTCTGTGTGGGTGTGTGTGTGTGTGTGGGGGGGGAGGGGAGAAACTGTGGCACATGCAGGAGACAGTACTTGCACAACATACAATTCTGTACACATACAACTAGAAAGGACAACTCTTACAACAAGAAATGTATTCTCTAGTAATCACACAACAACTAGTTGGGGGGAGGGAGCGAAGAAAGAGAGGTAGGACAGATTATTCATGATGGCTTGTCACATGGCATGGGAAGTACATTTTTGGGAGCCCTTGATAGCAACGATAACGACTGCATAAAGCTAACACAATATATGCCATTAGTTGGGCATCTTTTACAGGACTTCCCAGAACTGGCCCCAGTGTGTGTGTGTTTATATGTGTGTGTGTGCTTGTGTGTGTGTGTGTGTTTATATGTGCATGGTTGTCTGTTATTTTACTAGGTAATGTTAGGTTCAGTAGTTCTGAACAGTCAGCTCTTGAGAACACTGTCAAAATCAGCGTAAATTGACCAACTGGCGAATGGACCAACTGGCGAATGGACCAACTGGCGAATGGACCAACTGGCGAATGGACCAACATGCTATTCGACCAACTGGTGAATGGACCAACTGGCTATTTGACCAACTGGCGAATGGACCAACTGGTGAATGGACCAACTGGCGAATCGACCAACTGGTGAATGAGCCAACAGGCTATTCAACCAACTGGTGAATGGACCAACTGGCTATTTGACCAACTGGTGAATGGACCAACAGGCTATTCGACCAACTGGTGAATGGACCAACTGGCTATTCAACCAACTGGTGAATGGACCAACTGGCTATTTGACCAACTGGTGAATGGACCAACAGGCTATTCGACCAACTGGTGAATGGACCAACAGGCTATTCGACCAACTGGTGAATGGACCAACAGGCTATTCGACCAACTGGTGAATGGACCAACAGGCTATTCGACCAACTGGTGAATGGACCAACAGGCTATTCGACCAACTGGTGAATGGACCAACAGGCTATTCGACCAACTGGTGAATGGACCAACAGGCTATTTGACCAACTGGTGAATAGACCAACTGGTGAATGGACCAACTGGCAAATCGGCCAACTGGCAAATTGGCCAACTGGCAAATCGACCACAGCTAGAATCGAACTGGGTATCACAGAATTAGTGTTGACACACCACAAATGCTGCAGGCAGTGTCACAGACTTGCCATTACTTTACAAGTAACAACTACAGAGAGCTAATCTCACCCACATTTCTTTCCCCCCCCCCCCCCTTTCCTCTCGTGTGTCAAACTATGGCTCAAGGGTGCCAACACAACTATGTTAATTTATTTAACTATATATACATATTATATATAAACACAAATGGTGTGGACCATAGTGGTGCAGAGGCCAGACACTTTACCAGCCAGTCCGAAGTCTTGAGATTTGAATCTGCATTAAGGCAATGTTTATAACTGACACAGAGCTTCCAGGTCGACCCAACCTAAAATGAGTACCAGGAAATGTCTTTGGAAATGAAGGCGGCCAGCGTAGGTTTTTTTTTTCAACAAGTCACAAAAAATAGTACTAACACTTGACAAGCTACCTGTCATGTGCTATATCCTGGGATGCCACCCACTGTGTTGTAGTCCCTGTCAGACTGCACACAAATCCCCAAGAGAGCTGCACGCTCTGTCAGCTCCCAAGCCCTGTGCCCAGAAAGCTTCTCCATGCTGTGTTGTGTGCCCAATCAGATCCCCGACTGTATAGTGTGCCCAGATAGCTTTCCCTGCTGTGTTGTGTGCCTAGACAGATCCTCCAATGTGCCGTACATCTTGTCAGACGGCATACACATGCTCTCCAGCATTGCCTGCTGTCAGCTTATTAGCTGCTTGCCCAGACATGCTTCTCTCATTGTACTCAGTGCCCAGGTAGGTTCTCCCCTATGCTGTTACCCTTTAACATGTCACTGCCCTGATAACAATGATTCAAATCACAACAAACTACAGCAAATAGTTTTCACTCAATTTTAGTTACCGAAGTCAGAACCCCCAGCACAGAAAGCAAAATCCTAAAGGGCAAATACAACAGTACACTACTTTTTCTTTGGACTGCATTCAATAACTGCTGGTCTCTTAATTACCACCACCACCAACTTATATCCAGGCAACATACCCGCCAACTGAGCCATCATATTGCAGTTAGCAAACCCAAACTATATTTCATCTGAGTAGGGTTCCAATCCTAGTGCAGCATTTGAACAGTAGGACTTACTTTGATCACCAAAAGGAACAGTCAACACCTGCCTGCTGCAATGTTCATGTTATATGCTTCCATATTTCAATCAGTCAATAGATCAGTCCAGTTCATTGTATCGGGCAAACATGGTTTTCTTCAGGGCCACTCTGTAGTCATCGCCCACATCAGCAACTACGGTGGCTCCCCTGGCACCAAGACCTGCTGTTTTGCTGCGCCGCTGTGCCTGGGTGAAAGACAATACAGGATTCATGCATACATAGGTCGACAGAGATGTTACGTGTTGTGCATGAAGAAGAGATGTTTTGTTGTGTAAGAGAGATATGTTGTGTGAAAGAGAGAGATGTTATGTGTTGTGTAAGAGAGCTCTATTGTGTGAGAGAGATGTGTTGTGTGAAAAGAGATGGAGATGTTATGTGCTGTGTGAGAGAGCTATGTTATCTGAAAGAGAGAGGTGTTAAATGTTGTGTGAAGAAAGAAGTTTATATGTTGTATGTGCAAGAGAGATGTCTATATGCTGTGTGATAAAGAGAGATATGCTTATGTGATGTGTGCAACAGAAAGAGGTCAGGTGTTGTGTGTAAAAGAGAAATGTTTATGTGCTATAAAAAAGAAAACAGATACAAAGAAAGGGAAGGAGAGAGGCAGACACAAAGATAACATAGAGGAAGGGAGAGACAGAAGCAAACAGAGAGGGAGGAAGACAGAGGCTGAAAGATATACAGAGAAAATGATATAAAAAAGCAAAAGACTCTGACAAGTGAATAGAAGGGGAGAGAAGGCAGAGAGATAGAGAGGAAGTGGGGGGGGGGGGGGGGGGGGGCCAGCAGATACAGAGTGAGAATGAGGCAGACAGAGGTTGAGAGAGCGAGGGGAGAGAGATCCACAGGGCAGGAAAGAGACGGCAAACTGACACAGGAGATAGAGGAAGGAAGAGAGAGAGAGACAGGCAGACAAAGATACAGACAAAAAAAGATACAAAGAAGTGGTGAGAGACAGAGAGAAGGCAAGACAGAAAGAGAGAGTGAGAGTGAGAGTGATCTAAAAGAGATCTAAAACTAATATGTCAGTCAGTCAATTGCTAAATGGGTCAAACAGTAGGACAGCTAAAAGTAACACATCAAAAGAATAAAGCTAATATCATAGAAAACATCAAGGGAAAAAAAACAGGTCCCATCCCATTCCCAAGCACAGCACAATTACTCCTGTATCCATCTTTCACTTTGGTTGGGAAGTTGTTTCACTATAAAGCTGGGCTTTGTTCTGTTTTTTTGATGTAGTGATAATGACTGGACTGCCTAACAAATGGGTCTTATAAACAGTCTTTTCATATCTGATTTGTTTCAATTTTTATTTCAAGGTTACTGATGGCTAACTTCAAGGAAAATATATATTCTTTTAAAATTTTCCGGGTCTCTTTAAGGCTTTGAAAGGCTACTTTTCCAGGGATTTTCAAGGAATCAAGAGTCACACTCAAAGGTCGATGTGATCAACATAATGTTGGCTAACTTTACTTCTCAAGACATTTCCAGTTGCCCATTTTAGACGAGAAGGCAAGGTCATTTATAAAATACCTGCCAAGGTGTGAACTTGATTTTAAGATTGTCAGGGCAGCAGGCCCAACACTATCCTGACTTTGTTACCAAAAGGATATTATTAACCCTTTTAGCACGGGAAGTTTTTCAGATGTCTAGCCAAAAACACGGAGCACTTTTTCAGTAAATTTGGATATTACTTTATTTAATTTTTTTGACACATTTCTGTTTTTCTGACCCCCATGAAATAATATATCTATTTGAAGAATATAGATTGAAGTTCATGATTTTCACAATATCGTTAAAATTAGTTGATGTATATGCAAATTATCTCATTTGCATATCTAAAAATAGAAAATCAGAATGTGAATTTTTAACTTCAATGCATGAAACACATAACTAAAAACAAAAATATATTTTATTTGAAATCTTTTTATTGATCTTTGGCCTTTCCACAAATGTTGTAAGCAATTCAATAGTCAAAAACAGGTATAGGTATATGAAACAGCAATAATATCTTTAGTTGTGTTTAGATATTTGGTGACATGTGTTTGTCACCTTCAGTCAGCACAAGAAATGGAGGTGCCGGAGTGACAACACCTTCGGGTGGATATACCCGGAGCCATGGTTGGGCTGTGGTCTGAACACAACAACGTCCCCATCTGATTCCCCACTATTACTACTAACACTAGATCCTGCATCAGTATCAACAGAATTAGTGTCATCACTTGATTCAAATGTTTTATCAACATCAAGTTTAGTGGCAGAAACATACGAGTCAGACATACTTTTAGCGGTTCGGGTCACTATCTAAAAAATTCAACAACAATTTTCACTTCGATACCAAACACTCGAAAGTCGCCATGTGTAAAGCTAATACAGCAGTTAATATAAATGAATCACTTTCAGTGTTTCAAAATAGGAGATTTCTTAGCGGTTCGAGGCGAAACACGATCGGGCCGATGATCGGTCGTTCCGTGTTTTTGGCTAGACATCCGCCGGCCGATAATCGGCCCGTCCGTGCTAAGAGGGTTAATCAGGTGCTTCACTATGAAAGTTCCCTGTGTGGGTTCTGGGACCCCCTTGTGGGGGAAACCAAGAACAGACTCACTGCCTCCCCAACAAGCATGCCGTGAAAGTGGACTAATTGGGGGTTTCCATCAAAGCCAGAGTGCATCAGCCTGAGAGGCACAGAACCAACTGTCTGCATACAAATAAGTCGGATCTGTAAAATAAATGTGCATGCAACTCAGGTTCTGGGGCACATCTAATATCCATGGGTGGATGAACAACCAGATCTTTCAGCCGGTGAATGCGCAGAAGAAGAAGAAAAAGGCAATGAAATTTAGCTGCACTAAATCTTTCAACATATTTTAACTCTCACTTTGGTTGTAAACATTGTTGTCTGCCGGACATCTAAATCTATCTTCCCATTTGCACTAAAAAGTAACATCACTCAGAATAAAGACAAAGAAAATTATTCAACAAAAAGGACAGCTGCTTAGTGGTGACTAGACATACCTCAATCGGGTCTGTAATTCCCTGATTGGACTTTCCCAGGCCTTGACCCTCTGACCAGCCCATCTTTTGCAACAGTTTGTTCCCAATATTGTCTTCCTTGATCCCAAATTTGGTTGGTTCCTCGTATCTGAAATACAAATGTTGGCAATTCTATAAAGTTATATACAAAACAGTGAGTGGAGTTTCATTGCAAAGGTCAATGGACATTGTTTAAACAACAGCCTTGAGTGAAACGTCACATCAAGCATGAGAAAGGAGGTAGAGGCAGCAACAGCAGCTTTCTGGTGACTGGTGAGCAGTACAGTCTGCAGCTTAATTGTAATGGACTCAGAGAATGCTTAAAACAACAGGGACTGATACCCACCTGTAAAGTGGCTTGCCTTTTTATAGCACTCGAATCAGGAGTAGCACATTGTTAACAACATTTAAAAAAAAAAGTAAACTAAAGGTCCATTTACACGCCAATCTTGGTCTCTTTCTTGGTCTTCCCCTTGCCTTCCTGGCAAATACAGTTTGGTCTGTCGGCATTCTCATTAGATGGCCAGACCATTAACTTACTGTGGCGGCATTACTGCAAGAAATTAAAGTCCAAATTATACTCACACTACTGGCTCTGGAAATTCGACTTCTCTCTCCTTTCTTCTTTTGGGTTCAGGGGGTTCCGGTGCTCCGTACTTCTGCCTTCTTTCTTTAGCACGATCTCGGTACTGCAAACATACAGTTCCAAATTGTTCTCAAAGAAATTTAACAGAGAAAATCAAATGTATTTTCTACATGAGCTGGCTAAAATATTTCAGTTGGGAAAGTGTTCGATGGAAGATTTAAAGGTCCCTGGTTAAATTCCCAGTTTTGGTAAATATCTGGTGGCCAGAATTATTTGCTACATGGTGAAAAGAAGCCAAACAGCCATAAGCCCTTTCACCCCAGAAACACACACAAATTAGGCCATGAACCTGTAGGAATTTCATGGGGAAAAAATCATTTAAAAAAAAATACATATTTCTCAAAATTTATTCTTCAACATTCATAATTAAAAAAAAAAAACACTACACTTTTTCAGTTTCTTTAGTTACCGAGATTTTCGTACAATAAACACATTCTGATATGAATTTTAAAGCATCCAAAACATTACAAATTTAAAAGATAGACTGAAGAAAACGTAAACTTGCCTCAATCTTGGATGCGCTGGAAGAACTCTTTGACTTTGTCAATGCTTCCAGATTTTGCTAAAGTAAAGAACATACATAAATAATTATGTAATTTATATAATTAATAGACAGACTATAAATCACAAATGCAACTAACATTTACACAGAGAGACAAAAAAAGGTGAAAAAAGGAAAGAAGGAGCAGGGTAGTAAGGACAGATGAAATAGAACAGCAGGAAAAGGGAAGGAAGGGCGGGTAATTAGAGATAAAGAGTGAACTAGGAAGAGAAAAAGAGAGAATTTAGATAAATAAAGAAACTGAAAGCAGGAGGGATAGACAGAAAAGAGAGAGAAAGAAAGAAAGAGAGAGAGAGACAGAGAGAGAGAGAGAGAGAGAGAGAGAGAGAGAGAGAGAGAGAGAGAGAGAGAGAGAGAGAGAGACAGAGAGAGAGAGACAGACAAACAGACAGACAAGAGACAGAGAGAGCCAAAGAAAAAGAGGTGGAAATCTGAGAGGCTAGGAGAAAACACTGAAGCAAAGAAAGGTGACATGAATCTATGATCCTACCAACAAATATAAGAAACACTGGCATATCAATAACGTATATCCCACAACAATCCGTTTAACGAACCCCAACAACATAGGATACCAAGTTTTAAGTAAATATGACTAAAAATACCGTACTGGACCTCCATTTGCCTATGAATCCCGAAATTCACCCCTTTACTAATTTAAAAAAAAAAAAAAGCTTCTTTTTAATGCATGTCAAAAATAGGGTGGCCATCTTTAAACTGTTTTTATGACATCATCATGCTCATCTGCACCTTGATGCCAAGTGCTTAACACTCTTGACATTCTTAACAACAAAACTGACATGTTACAAGACAATGGCACAGTTACTGTGATTTCTCTCATAGCTTTTAAGGTTTTCATTTAAAGTTCCCGATAAACAGTAACAACATGTGACCAGTACCTTATGTAATTCAGAGACTTGTGTGTGTTTGCTGAGAATCTCTTTGGACTGGAACTGCCTTTTGCAGAGGAGACAGGCAAGTTTGGCCCAGTCGACCAGCTTGGATTCATCCACTGCGGCAGCTGAGTCTTCATCATCACCGCTGTCACTGTCTCCACCGTAGGAGGCCACAAGACCAGGTTTACTGGACACTGAGGGCTTCTCCGACTTCTGGTGAAATTCAAAACAATAACATAACAGAAATAAAGAGGGATAAACAAGAACAGAACAGGTGACTTATACGCCAAAGATTAACACGCCTAAGATATAACAGATGGTTTGAACAAGTCAAACGTATAGGGCTTCTTGGGGACACCAAGAGCTTTAACTTCTGGGGAAATTAAAAATCAATTACATAAAAAAAATAGAAGAGGGATACACATATCAAGAATAGAAGAAGCGATGAACACACCAAAGATATAACAGATTATATAAACATGTCAAACATATAAGAAGTGACTAAACAAACAAAAACCTGTGACTACTGCCTGTATTTACAACCTTTTTACAACGGACAGACCGGGGGGGGGGGGGGGGGGGTGTTGGTTGACGCAAGGATTCAGAGCCATATGGTTAGTGCTGTCGCCACAGACTGTGCAGGTTAGGATGTTTATTGTCTGCACTTGCCAGAAAAACATCACCTTATCTGGAAGGGAGGGAAAGGGGGGCAACTCAGGACTCCCACATGAGAGCCCAATGTTGTAACCACTTGGCCAGCCGCCTCTCTGAGCGGTGTTTAATACACCAGACATTTAAGGTGATAGACATGTCAACAATGTAAGAAAAGGTGTATCATGTCAACAATGTAAGAAAAGGTGTATCATGTCAACAATGTAAGAAAAGGTGTATCATGTCAACAATGTAAGAAAAGATGTATCATGTCAACAATGTAAGAATAGATGACAAACATGTCAACAATGTAAGAAAAGGTGTATCATGTCAACAATGTAAGAATAGATGACAAACATGTCAACAATGTAAGAAAAGGTGTATCATGTCAACAATGTAAGAATAGATGACAAACATGTCAACAATATAAGAAAAGGTGTATCATGTCAACAATGTAAGAAAATGTGTATCATGTCAACAATGTAAGAAAAGGTGTATCATGTCAACAATGTAAGAAAAGGTGTATCATGTCAACAATGTAAGAAAAGGTGTATCATGTCAACAATGTAAGAAAAGGTGTATCATGTCAACAATGTAAGAATAGATGACAAACATGTCAACAATGTAAGAAAAGGTGTATCATGTCAACAATGTAAGAATAGATGACAAACATGTCAACAATATAAGAAAAGATGACAAACATGTCAACAATATAAGAAAAGATGACAAACATGTTAACAATATAAGAAACGGTGATAAACATGTCAACAATAAAAGAAAAGATTATGAACATGTCAACAATTTAAACATGGCAAAAATATAAGAAAAGATGATAAACATTTCAACAATATAAGAAAGATGATAAACATGGCAACTTCTTCTTCTTCTTCACTTCCTCTTTTACCGCTGTGGGTGTCGAGGGAGATATAAGGTTCTGTTTCTAGCTCTTCTGGCTGCCTCGACCATAGGCACATCGTACCGTTGTAGAGTTTCTCTGATGTTATCCTTCCATCTTGTTCTTGGTCTACCCCGTGCTCTACGCCCTTCTTCTCTTCCCATGTATGCTTTGTATGGTATGGTGTCACAAGGCATTCTCTCTAAGTGGGCAAACCATTTCACTTGCTGTCTTTGTATGTAACCCAGAATTGGTTCTGTGCCGACTTGTTCTCTTATGATCTCCTTTCTGATCTTATCTCTTATGGTCACTCCTACAGCCCTTCTCAGACATCTCATTTCCGTGGTTACTAATTTTCTTTTATGGTTTGTTGTGAGTGACCATGTCTGGCAACAATATAAGAAAAGATGATAAACATTTCAACAATATAAGAAAGATGATAAACATGGCAATAATATAAGAAAAGATGATAAACATTTCAACAATATAAGAAAGATGATAAACATGGCAATAATATAAAAAAAGATGATAAACATGTCAACAATTTAAGAAAAGATGAAAAACATGTTAATAATATAATAACTGATGATAAACATGTGAGCAATATAAGAAAATATTATGAACATATCAACAATACAAGCTATGGATGACAAACATATCGACAATATAAGGAAAGATTATAAAGATGTTAACAATATGAGAAGAGTGGATAAACATGACAACAATGATATAAGAAAAAGTGGATAAACATGTCAACAATACAAGCTATGGATGACAAACATATCGACAATATAAGGAAAGATTATAAAGATGTTAACAATATAAGAAGAGTGGATAAACATGTCAACTATTTAAGATACAATACATTGATATGGGCAGTGGGCAGGCCTAAGAAGAATTACTGTCTACATGAATTGGCTAAACACTTGAAGAAGTAGCCTTTTCTGTGGTAAAAATGTTGCAATGAGTTCATCATATTATCACCATCACCAGCTTCTGCCACTAAACCTTGTGGGAAGGAACAGTTCGCAGTCCAGCACTCAACAGGTGGCCTTCCATCTGAATGTGGAATATTTGTAAATGTCATCAATCCATCTTCTGGGTGGCACCGGTTGTTCTCAGGCATTTCATACGTATGTGCATTGTTCATAAATGTCATCAATCCATCCTCTTGGGTAGTACTAGCTACTGTGATTCCATCTGCATGTGCAATGTCCTTAATGTTGTCAATCCATCTTCTTGGGTGGAACTGGCTAGTGTCATTCTGTTTGAATGCACAATGTCCATATCATCAATCCATTTTCTCCTTGGGTACCTCTTTCTGCATAAAAGATCCCTATGATAAGTATAGTCCCTGTGTAAGTAGTTGTTTTGGCTGCGTGCCAACGAGATGACCAAACCATTTATAATTTGTCTCCAAGAATGGGTTCCATTAAGAAGAACCTAACTCTGAGAGGTACAAAATATGCAGGGCTGATGTCCAGGTCAGAAACTGAGAAAGTTGCCTGCAAAAGAGCGGAGTGGAGGAATTGAATGCGAGTCCTATGCAATGTCTAACGGCACACAATGGATGATGATGAGTATGGGTTCCGGAACCCCATTTTGGGAGAAACTAAAAATAGACCCACCACCCCCTAACAAACCTGTTGTAAGAGGCAACTTATTCTTTTAAAGCTGGAGTGCATCTGCCTGAGAGGTGAGCTGCTAACAAATACGCCAGATCTGCAGAATGGATGTGCACACAAAACTCAACTTCTGGAACAAGACTAAATTCCAGAACTGGGCGAATAATCAGAAATTTCTGCTGGAGTTTTCAGCTGGTGGGTGTTAAAAAGATTTTTTGCTTACATAATAAAGTATAAAGAAATAAACAGAAGACAAGCTAACAAAGACACAATGATAGTGAGTGTTACAGAAACCATGGCAGGCAACAATCATAAACAATACCAACTCACCAATAACTGAGGAGCTGGCATGGCTGACATTTCTTCCTTCTGAAAATAAAACGAAGAAACATAAACTAGAGGCGTGCAGTTAGAAGATTTAAGGGGAAGAGGTTCAGATGGCAGGTACAAAGAATTACCACAGTATGCTGTTTTTTTTTTTTTTTTTAAGTTTATTTTCAAGTGACTGGCCTAGGGGTTCCATGTGTTAGTGGTTAAGCTGTTTGCTGCTCGCTTTGTGGGTCATGGGTTTGTTTCACAGACTGCTTTCTTCAGCTTAAGGAGATTCCCTGAGAGTTTCTCTGGTTCTGTTGAGTTTGTGTTTTGTGCCAAGCTCTTAGCAGGCAGGCATTCATTCTGAAGAGACAAGACTGAAACATGGGTTCAAATCCAGTGCAATGAAGTTGATCCTCTGTCAAATCCAGCACAATGAAGTTGATCCTCTGCCAAATCCAGTGCAATGAGGCTGATCCTCTGAACATTAAGCTTCCCTTCTCATCCCGTAAATGTCACTAATGCAGCTTTGCTGGTTTTATTTGGACAGTAGTGGGTTTCCCTCCACAGAAACCACATTTCTGTCAATTGATGGGTATCCTTTCCACACAAAAAACCACATTTCTGTCAATTGATGGGTTTCCTTTCCACAGAAAAACCACATTTCTGTCAATTGATGAGTTTCCTTTCCACACAAAAAAACCACATTTCTGTCAATGTATGGGTTTCCCCTCCACAGAAACCACATTTCTGTCACAATCAGATGCTTGTCAGTATCTCAGCTTATTGCCCATGTTTCACTTGCAAATAACACTACAGATTCCATATAACAACCAGGCTTTTCCCCCTCCCCCGCCCTCCCCCTTTTGTAAGAGACATCTTTCTAATGACATGTTCTAGGCAACATTTTACACCAGGCAACTTCTTACAATAGGCAACTTCTTACAATAGGCAACTTATTACACTAGCCAATATCTTATTCTAGGTAGCATCTTACACAAGACAACTTCATACATTAGGCAACATCTTACACTAGGCAACATCTTACACTAAGCCACTTAACTTCTTATACTAGGCAACTTCTTACACTAAACAACATCTTACAGTAGGCAACATCTCACATCAGGCAACTTCCAACACTATATATTACATTAGACAATTCTTGCATTAGGCAACATCTTACACTAGGCAATTTGACTCCTTACATTCGGCAGTGTCTTACACTAGACAATGTCTTACACTAGACAATGTCTTACACTAGACAATGTCTTACACTAGACAATGTCTTACACTAGACAATGTCTTACACTAGACAATGTCTTACACTAGACAATGTCTTACACTAGACAATGTCTTACACTAGACAATGTCTTACACTAGACAATGTCTTACACTAGGCAACGTCTTACACTAGACGTCTTACACTAGACAACGTCTTACACTAGGCAACGTCTTACACTAGGCAATGTCTTACACTAGACAATGTCTTACACTAGACAATGTCGTACACTAGACAATGTCTTACACTAGACAATGTCTTACACTAGACAATGTCTTACACTAGACAATGTCTTACACTAGACAATGTCTTACACTAGACAATGTCTTACACTAGGCAACATCTTACACTAAGCAACATTTTACACTAGGCCACCTCATACATTAGATAACATCTTACACTATGCACCTCCTTGCACTAGGCAACTTCTTACACTGGGCACTTTCTTACACTAGGCATCTTACAACAGGCAATATCTTACAATAGGCAACTTCTTACACTAGGCAACATCTTGCAACAGGCAACTTAAACACTAGGCAACATCTTTCACAAGGCAGCTTCTACCACTGCGATATTTGTTCTAATCTCTACACAGTATCTAGTATCAAATATGACTATCCCAGGATGACTGAACCAACCAAATTGTTCCAGAATTTTTCTATTCATCTTTCTGTCTCCTACTGCCAACTAATTATAAGCTTTCACCAAGTTCAGTTTCCTTTGACTGTCTGATTCACATTTATCAAAGCAGCAGAACACTAACACCTGACCCTGTCAACAGTGAATAATCAACACATCTCAGGACCGCCAGGGAACTTACCACCTTTTGCAGAATGGCAAATCCGGCGTCAGCAGTTGCAGATTCATACCGTGACTCGGTCATGACATCCGGCTGTCCATACACGCGCCTGACACCTTCCCTCTGAGCCTCCTTCTGGGCATTTAAACTCTTAGCCCATTTTTCCATGTCCTTGAGGTGAGAAGAAAAATGTCATCATTACAAACAACTACACACATACACATATAAAATGTTCTCTACATTTCAATGTACACACACAAAAACCCACATTTGTCTTACAATCTTCTTATAACATGTCACTGTCCATACATACACCTAACACACACAGAGATTCTCATCACAGATAATTTAATAAAATGAGATTCTTATCACGAAGATATTTGAATTAGCAGTTCTTATCACAGATAATAAATGTTTTAGCGGTTCTTTCCGCAGAGAATAAGTGTATTAGCGGTTCTTAGCACAGCACAAATGTATTAGCAATTCAGATTACATAGAATAAATGTATTAGCGGTTCTTTCCGCAGAGAATAAATGTATTAGCGGTTCTTTCCACAGAGAATAAATGTATTAGCGGTTCTTTCCACAGAGAATAAATGTATTAGCGGTTCTTAGCACAGCACAATTGTATTAGCGATTCTAATTACTTAGAATAAATGTATTAGCAGTTCTTTCCACAGAGAATAAATGTATTAGCGGTTCTTTCCACAGAGAATAAATGCATTAGCGGTTCTTTCCACAGAGAATAAATGTATTAGCGGTTCTTTCCACAGAGAATAAATGCATTAGCGGTTCTGATTACTTAGAATAAATGTATTAGCGGTTCTTAGCACAGCATAATTGTATTAGCGATTCTAATTACTTAGAATAAATGTATTAGCAGTTCTTTCCACAGAGAATAAATGTATTAGCGGTTCTTTCCACAGAGAATAAATGCATTAGCGGTTCTTTCCACAGAGAATAAATGCATTAGCGGTTCTTTCCACAGAGAATAAATGTATTAGCGGTTCTTAGCACAGCATAATTGTATTAGCGATTCTAATTACTTAGAATAAATGTATTAGCAGTTCTTTCCACAGAGAATAAATGTATTAGCGGTTCTTTCCACAGAGAATAAATGCATTAGCGGTTCTGATTACTTAGAATAAATGCATTAGCGGTTCTTTCCACAGAGAATAAATGTATTAGCGGTTCTGATTACATAGAATAAATGTATTAGCAGTCCCCATCACAGACAATAAATGTAATAGCTGTCATCACAAAAAATAAATCTATTCATGATTCTTATCACAAAGAATAAATATATTAGCTGTCCTTATCACAAACACAAAAGGTTCAGAGCAGAGCATCTGAGAAGAAACATATCATATGTACATGAATGCAACAACAGTGCTGAAATTTTATACATTTATTGTGAAAGATTCTTCTTAACGTGAGCGGGTTTTGTCAGCCACTGTGATTCTCATGCATCTCCAACAGCACAATGGAAACACTATCGTCTGGAAGACAAACTGGTATCAAAATTCTCATCCAAAGAGAATACACTTTAGAGATTCTAATTAAAGAGTACATGTGAGGGATATTCCAACTCCAAATAAATGTAAATTCTTCTCAAAATTCAACTAGTATTTCTCATTCAGCCAAACAAATCCTTGAGGCCTAGAGATGTGGTTTCACAGAAGAATTCTTAGAATTCCTAGGACAGCCAAAAAAGAGCAACCCAGATGTTCTGAAAGAGGTGAGGGCTTAAAGACAGCTTATCAAAAACAGTTTTTTGGGGGGGGGGGGGGGGGGGGGGTCATATTATGAGAAGAAAACAAACATGTGACCACTGGAAATACCTGTGGTAAAAGAGATCGAGGAAGGCAATGCGAGAAGATTCCTGACAGCCTTTTGTCAGGGCATAGAGGGGTAATTAGCACACACACTGATACATACTGTTGCAGATCACAGATTGTGGAAAGGCATGTTAGTCTACGGCAATCGGTAAGGTTCTTGATGATGATGGTGATTTCTCACATACTAACTAACAGAATCCTAAAGCTGAATATACCTTGGCAATTTTTTTGGCAATCTTCACTTTCTCCTTGTCCTTCTTCTCCTCTTTGTCCTTTTTGTTCTGGCTGTCCTGGGAGGTATCCTTGTTGGCTGTGGCACCATCTGGAGCAGGTAGATACGTGGATCTCTCAGCATCCCAGTACATGAACTGTCCACTTGTGGAGTTGTAGTAGTACTGCAACAAACCAAACATGCTTGTTCAGATATGCAACAAAAGCAATTTAAAGTGCTTAGAACAGTGTTTTCAAAACTTTCCTTAGTCGCTGCCCATTTTTAAAATTAAAATGTTTCCACAGCGCCCTAACCAATGACTATTCGTTTTAAGAGATTTTTAAAAAAAATTTATAACTTGTGTATCTTCGAATATTTCGCTGCGCCCCTGTGAAGAGGCTGTAGCTCCCCGGGGCACAGTTTGGGAATCACTGGCTTAGAATAATATTTTGGCCACACTGCAAGACAATCTTCATCTTAGCAATCACTAATAGTAAACTCCAGTAGAAAGTTATGGTTGTTTGTTCACTTCTAGACTTTGTTTCTCATTCCAGCACTCAAGTTTTGCATGCACATCCATTTTACAGATTTGGCTGGTTTAAATGCAGACTGCTGGTTCCTCATCTTTTAGTCAGATGCACACCAACTTCAAAGGACCCATTTTTTAATCATTCGCTTTTAACCACATCTTTTTGAGAGGCAATGAGTCCATCTCCTTTTTTCCGCTCCCATGGGACCCTGGAACCAACACAGGAAGCATACAATTCTAATTGCAAAGTTGGATTTATTTCCAATCTATTGCACTATGGTTGTCACAGGCTTGTAAAATAGACAAACACAATTTTACCCTGCTGGAAAGTCAGTGATAAAGGCAACTGTCACTTCATTTGTCTTCTCTGGACATACAATGTTGTGGGTGGCTTTTTGTCTTTTGATGGCCTTTTGACGACACATTTGGAATCAAGATTTACCATTGTTGCACTAGACATGTGCTGCTCTGCCTGCTTGACCACTGCATATCTTATTGTGTGCTTGTCATTTGAAGGGCACGTTGTGTTGTGGTTTACAGTTAGGCTGCGATATCTACACCCTTTGGCCCAGCAAATCCAATTTCAACAACCTATTAATTAGTCGCCTTTTACAACACACTTGATAAGGGGGAAACTGGGTCTATTCTTGTATTTTTCTAAAACGGGGCCATAGAACCCACATATCAATGTAAGTGAAGTGAGTCATTGCTAAAAGCTCTATAGAACAATTCAAAGAGTGGTAGCCACAGGTGCAAATATGAGAAGGGTTGGGACAATCCAGCAGATTCTATCAATCATTTTACATACACTGCGTCCGTCAAGTCATGGTGCACTTTCGACCCGTCACAGGAAAGCAACAAAAGAAGGTAGAAATGTGAAATATTCACCAAATGAAAGGAAAACTCTCCAAGTTTTGTAGTGTGATGTGTAAACTTGGAGAGTTTTCCTTTCATTTGGTCAAGATTTCACATTATTATCTTGTTTCATTGATTTCCAGTGACCGGTAAAAAGTGCACCATGACTTTCCGGACATACATATACACACACAAACATAGTCCGACAAATTTTATTACAGCCAAATTCAGCTGTCTCAAAGGCACTTTTCCGAGTTAGAAACAGAATTAACATTCACCGGTGACCCCATGCTGCATAAGTAACAGGTGCTGAGACAGCAGTTTGTCACAATCTTTCCACAAGGGACTCGATGAACGTTCTGTGTGTTTATCGTTGAGGCACCTTTCACTTGCTAACCAAAACGGTAGGCTACTTGTCATCTGCTGAGCATGACTGCATCACAATTTTGTCAGATCATAGACGCCTGGTGCTTGTGTGGATGAAATGCTTTGCTTCACGGACGGCGCTGTTGCTCGGGCCATAACAAAAGTAGTCTCATTATTTAATTATTGGACTGTGTAGATGTCCACCCATGCCAGATTGTCCAACAAATTCTCTCTTGGTCTCCCTGTGGCTCTCTCCAACTTTTGTGTGTGTGGGTATCATCTCGGTGTACTGTAGTTTTCTCCCTTCTCATGACATGATGCAAGAGTGTAGATTCTTTCTAATTAGTTACTTAGTCGACAGATTATCCTCACTGCACATCAAAACCATTAAATCCATAAGTGCTCGGATCCCTTCCTCAGTATATCCTGCAGCGTGTAGCGGCTGACGACACCAGTCCTGAGTTTGGTTTCTTATTCTTCTCTGGCTTCCTGCATAGTGCTCTAGTCTGGGCCACACCCCTTTTATAAGGTGTTCCTGATGCAGGTCATCAAGACCCAGACATAAAAACCTGCTAGTCAAAGCCTCCCTTATTTCCCAGCATACATGCTGGAATCCTGTTGAATCAACTTCCTGCGTACAATAATTAAAAATGCCTAACATTCACCACGACAAACATATTTTGTGAAGTGCCGCTATCTACAAACAATAAAGAACAACTGTTCACCCATGTTTAGTAATCACCAATTTGTGTTTACCTGTGAATTTGCATCATAGTATAGCTGTGTTACTGGATCGTAGTAGTAACCAGAAGTTTCCTCATACTGATATTTAGATGTGTCTGGGGGAGCTGCAATCAAAACACAACCACCTAAAACTATGTACTACATCAACATATCTCTGTGGGGGAACATAGCAATAACACAATATAAAATGATGTATCATATGAATATGGCTTAGTGAAGGAAATGGGAAATATCACTAAAAATATACAATTATTATGTATCATATAAAAATGGCTGCTCGGGGGGAAGGGAAGCTATCACAAAACGAAATACAATCATTTTGTATCATATGATTGTGGCAGCCTGGGGGAAACCACCATCACACAACACAAATTATTAAGTGCCATATGAATATGGCTGCCAGGAAGAAATGGCTATCACATAACAACAAACAATTATTATGCATCATATAAATATGGCTGCCAAGAAGAAATGGCTTTCACAAAACAACATACATTATTTAAGTATCATATAAATATGGCTGCCGGGGAGAAACAGGGAAAGAACAGTTATAACATAATATGTAATTACTACATATAGATGGATATGTTGAAGTTAAAGCTCAGAGGATCAACTTCACCGCACCAGGTTAACCCGTATAGCTTGGTCTCTCTCTGCAGAATAGCTTGCCAACATAAAGTACAAACTCTGTAGCTCTAGCAACAATCTCACCATACAAACTTCCTGTAAATGAACAGACTCGCTAGCTTCTGGTTGTGTAACAAGTGGCATGATCACTTCACCGTGGTAAACCACTATGATTAGACATATACGTCTGAACACAACTGCAACCGGGAGCCAGTCGCCGTGCCGAAGCGACTAGATGCTCGCTGTGGATCGGAAGGTGGGTTTGCTTTCTGGCGGAGCCAGACTTTTTTTTTTAATGACTCATCACCCATCATGTGCCGACTGGTCTATAAAATATAGATCTAGCCCTTTATGCCTAAAGGCGTGGAAAAGGGTCCTTTACTTACTTTAAAAATTCCAACCATTCAGTAACATACAACTATTATGTAGGATCTGTGCAGAAAAGCTAACCATACATCCGACTGTCCATGAGGTTTCCAGGAGACATTTATTCTTTTTCATGCAGATTAGTGGCAGCCACAGTGGTGTAGTGGCTATACATCTGCCTGCAGATCAGAAGGTTATGGGTCCTGCAGATCGGCAGCCCATGGTGTAGTTTTTATCATTTACAAAAATTATGGCAGCCCAATGGTTGGCTGACTGCCAGGTTATGGGTTGATCCAACCTTCTGTTACTTGGCTCCCAGGTTGATCCAACCTTGTTAACCACATCACCCACCAAGTACCGGCTGGTCTATAAAATACAGACCCAGACCTATATGCCTGAAGGGTTGCCTACCTTACATGCAGATTAGCACGCTGTAAAGTATAAATTCATACCCACATTTTGTAATACATAGTAAAGTAAAAAGTAAAGATCCCTTTTCACGCCTTTAGGCGCTTCGGGCATATGGGAAGAGCACCCATATTTTAACAGACCAATCGGCACTAGATGGGTAATGTGGTCAGCATTACGCCAGCCATCTTTACTTCCCCAGGACATAATCCTGGTACCCATTTTAGGCTAGGTCGACCCAGGTCGCCGCGTAACATGGTAAAAATCCACACAGCCAGCAGTGGGTTCACTTGTAATGTATACAACAAACAAACAGGATTTTTACGAGTGCTTACGATAAACGGGATATTCCACGCCGTTGACTGTGACTGTCTTATTGACTGTGGCAGGCATGATTTTACTCTGCAGCTGTAAAAGAGATAAGTATTTAAGGCAAAATCTTCAATCCGAACAGGGGACAGACTAAACCTTAAGAGCTACAGAGAAACATGTCAGGCAATCAATAAACTGAGAAATCTGTTTTCTATTCTTCTTCCGGTTCACCAGCTGTAAACTCTGGCAGAAAGTTCTGGTTGTTCATCCACTTTTGAACTGCAGTCCTGTTCCAGAATCTGAGTGGTGCATGTGCATCCCTTTTACAGATCTAACTCATTTGGATGCAGACTGCTGGTTCCCTGCCTCTCAAGCAGATGCACTCCCACTTTGAAGAAAGCTGCCAATTAGTCGACTCTTACAACAAGCTTTTGGGTAGGCAGTGGGTCTAGTCCTTTTTCCCCCTTTAATAGGGCTTCAGAACCCACACGGGGAGTTTTTCTTTTCAAATTAAAAAAAAATTAAAGTTTAATCACTAAACTAAAAATTGTACTTTAAAGACAACAAACAAATGTAAAGGACCCTTTTCCACGCCTTCAGATTTATTAGGCATATAGGGCTAGATCTGTATTTTACAGACCATTTGGTGGGCGATGTTGTCAGCATCACTCTGGCTGCCTTTCCTACCCAGGACTGCACCTGGTACCAACTTAAGGCCGGGTCGACCTGGGAGCCAAAGTAATTTTTGAAAAAAGTCCAGCTCCATCAGGACCCGAACCCACAGCTTTTCGATCCGCAGGCGAGCGTCTAGCCACTACACCACAGCAACTACCACAGAAATATTACATATGTATAGATGCTATTTCATCATACAACCGGGAAGGCTAATGGGGTCAACAAATGCCTGCAGAAGTCGGATGTATCAGCCAAAAGGAGCATATATCGCAGCCGTGCTGTAAACAGGCAATTACATCTTCGGATGAACGTAGAAGAAGATATCATACATACATTCAAACTATGAAAACATACTACAAACTGTCGAAGAATTTTTCTAAATTGTAACTACAACAATCTAAATAAAAAAGATTAGAAAAACATAACTTGTCAGATTTACAGAACCTATTAACACTTTACAAAGAACATTTTGACAATTAGCCTGTGTCTATCTGCACAACATCCGTTTCTCATCATTCTGCTGATGAAGGCTAATAACCTCAATGTCTTTTGTTTGTTGTTTTTGGTTCTGTAAAGCTGACATATGCTAAGCTTTCCTTTAAAAAATAACTGTAGATTTTCATTGCTTCACTGCAGTCATCTCATTTTGACTTAACTTGTGATAAACATCTAGTACAAGTACTTTCTTTCCTTATGTGTTTGCCCTCAAAACAGTAGTTGGCATGTTGTGTTGTGGCATTTTATTCTTCTTTTCTCTACTTCTGGAAGGCCTCATGGCGTCAGGGCAGAAAGATATATCTGGAACGCTTTTTATAATGTACTTTTCAGCGTCTCAGATATTTCAGCAGTCCTTCTGCATGGTCGACCTCTGGCTCTGTTACCTTTGTATAACAATGCTCTCCGTGGTGCTCTGTCTGATGCCAATCTTGTTACATGGCCAAACTATTTGATTTGTTTCTACCAATAAAGTTCAGTACTGGTTCTGTGCCAGCTTTCCTAATATCATCGACTTTTCCTTATCACACCTAGCATAGTATGCAAACATGGGCGTCTGTGGCTTAGGCGTTGCAAACGCACTTCGTAATGTCGGGGTGCCAGGTTCGATCCCTGCTGCGGACGGTTTGTCTTGCTATGGTTTTGACCGTGGTACCAAGAGCAGACCGTCCAGAAAGCAATAGCAAACTGCTGGACGTAAATTTGGCTAGAAACACCACAACAGCCAGAAAGTGTTGGTGTTGGCTCTGCAACGTCCTGTAAAGAATACGCAACCAATTTTAGTAGTACGTAAACCTTTCATTTGTCGTGACTATTTTCCTTCTGTCTTCTGAAGACAGTGTCTATGTTTGACATTGACAGGCACTTTATGAAACACATAATTACTCAACACTGAATGTCACTTAATGCATGCTAACATTTCAAACGTAATCTCTGAGAGAGCTGAATACCTGTTTCTGGAGGTTCTTGGCTGCCTGTGCCTGCTGTATGGCTGCCTGGGCAACTGCGGCTGCTGCATTTGCCGTGTCTGTCACAGAAATGGAACCCAAATTATCACCTACCACAAACAATATCTTACATCAAATGGTTTGCCCACCTAGAGAGAATGCCTTGTGATGCCACACCACATAAGCCATACATGAAAAGAGAGGCAGGATGCATGTCAAAAAGCAGACAAAGAACAGGATGGAAAGATAACATCAAAGAGACCCTCCAACAGCACAATGTGTCTATGTGTCTGTGGTGGAGGCAGCCAGAAGAGGAAGAAGCAGAACTTTATATCTCCCTCAACACCCAAAGCGGTAAAAGAGGAAGTGAAGAAGAAGACAATGTCTTAAATGCCAGACCACATGTCTACAGCAATATCATGTAGTCTAAGTCAACAAATTATCAGCTGATCATTTTTGTTCCCAGAAAACTTCTTTGTATCAATGTGGGCTGAACATGGGGGCCTAAAATAAATTTTTTTTTTTAAATTTCAAACCTCGGCTGCAAGTTGGTCTTGAACACTTGTAAACACATATCCGGTGGAGCAGCAGGTGGATGAGCAGGTAAGTTTGCTGGTCACTGTGCTACAGTTTGCCAATGGGAGTCAACACAGCTGAAGCAAAACATCTGACTCATGAATAAACACCTTCAAATCCTCACACACATTACACAATAATAATGATGAACCTTTGAGGCTAACAGGATTGCGTGATATGGGAGTAAAACATGGTGATGCACGTCTCCTTGCCGCCTCGAGGCCGAGACAGGAAACATAATCAGCTCCTCATGGGAATTGGCTCCTGCAGCAGAGGACTGGGCACCAGGGCTATATGATACTCAGTACCGGCACCTTTCTCTGTCATTTTTAGTGCCATTGCAAGACACTTCTGACACACAAAACCTCAGCTTTTGTTGTTGTTTTTGTTGCGATTCTCACACAGATTTACTTCTTTTTCTTTTTAATTATGGTGTCCAGGGTGGACCTTAAAAAAATAACATGGGGTCCCCGGGTCTTATCTAACTGGAAATCACTGTTCTACAACTTGGGTAGAACAGGGCCACACTTACACACAAAAACAGACAATAGACACAGTAATCTTTACATTTTATAATGAACTATCTATGAGAGTTAGGTGACTTTCTTACTTTCTCCCTTCATGCTGGCACCGGTAGCTCCCATCTGGGCATAGTACTGTGAGTAATCATAGTACTGCTGTGTGGCTGGGTCAAAGTACTGGCCACTCTGTTGGTAGTAGCTGCCATCATAGTACTACAGGTGATGGACGAGCAAACAGTCCATTAGATTTTAAGGGCATGAAAAACTTACAAACATGACAATCGATAAATTGAAAGGTAAATCGGTGTATGTGATAAAGAGAGAAAGAAGAAAATGAGAAAATGTTTGCAGACAAAGCCAGAAACCAAAGTTAAGAGAGAGAGAGAGAGAGAGAGAGAGAGAGAGAGAGAGAGAGAGGGAGAGAGAGAGAGAGAGAGAGAGAGAGGAATGTTTAGAAAGACAGAAGAGAGAGACACGAGCAGAAAGAGATGAGATAGTGAGCGGAATTGGAAAGAAAATCAAGACAGCAGGGATGAGAATAGACAATTTAGAGAGATTGAGAGAGAAAAAAAGAGCAAGACAGAGTAGAGAAAGAAAGAAGAGTGAAGCACAGGGGGAAAGGGTGGGCTGAACTAAAAGAGAGACAGAATTAGGAGGCAAAAGAGGAGAGAAAGGAGGTACAACAGAACAAGGTCCAAATTACTTCTAGCTGTAAATATGTAGCTGGCACAAGTAAAAATGACAATCAAGACTTCTTTTTTTTTTTTTACTAACTCTCTAGCTCCATTCTCCCGTTTTTTTTTTTTTTTTTTGGGTGTGGCCTGCCCTTATTTCTAGGCCCTTTGTGGGTTTCAGTGCAAAGAATTCTAGTTATACTGTTTTTTGGGTCTTCTCAACACATGTCCAATCCAAAGCCAGTGTATGTTCTTCCCCTCCTGACCTTGCTCAGTTCTCTCCCAACGCTCCACATAAGTGATTCCACCAGCACATAATCCACTTGCATCCTCCAGTTCTTCAAAGCGCAGGCTCTACAGCAGTGTGCAGGCTCTACACAATTCTCTCCCAAAGCTCCACATAAGTGATCCCACCACAGCACTTAATCTTCGATTCTGCCCAGGCTCTACACAGTTCTCTCCCAAAGCTCCACATAAGTGACCCCACCACAGCACTTAATTCCCTCGATTCTGCCCAGGCTCTACCAGTTCTCTCCCAAAGCTCCACATAAGTGATCCCACAACAGCACTTAATCCTCAATTCTGTGCAGGCTCTACACAGTTCTCTCCCAAAGCTTCACATAAGTGATCCTACCACAGCACTTAATTCCCTCGATTCTGCCAAGGCTCTACACATATGCACCACAATGAAACTGACACTTCTATTACTCTACTACAATCAATTACCTGTGCCTGAGCCTGCTGTTGAATGTAAGCCATCCTGAAAGCAAAAACAGTTCAGGTTTGAATGGAAAGCAAATAGGTCAACAAAACTGCTAAACTCATTCAAGATACATTCAAAAGGTCAAAAAATGGCCCAGCAATGAAAGGGAGTGACGAGTTCTAATGACTGATAGATCAGTTTGTCCCCTACAGGGTTAAACCTAAAGGGTTACCCAAAAAATCTCAATCTGGATGGCAGACCAACAGGACAGATTCACCATACCCCAATCCACCTACAAAGAACTTATAATTCATATATATTATACTATACACATATAAAGGAGTAGAAAGATAGGACATACTAGATAAAATTTTAAAAAACTTTTCTGTGTCTTCTTCCTGTTCACCAGCTGTAAACTCCGGCCGGAGGTTCTGGGTGTCAGTCTACTTCTGGACTTAAGTCCTGTTCAAGAACCTGATCTTGCGTGCACATTCATTTTACAGATCTGACTCATGTGTATGCAGACTGATGGTTCATCACCTCTCAGGCAGATGCATTTCAACTTCGAAAGCAGCTCTCAATTAGTTGACTCTTAGGACATGTTTTCTGGGTAGGCAGTGGCTCTATTCTTGTTTTCCCCACAATGGGGCTCCGGAACCCACACGAGGAAAGAACTTATAAATAGGGCACCAATAACGGCTACACTAGCCCAGGATGTCACCAGCAATCCTGTGTGGGCACGGACTGAGTGGCAAGTTGGCTGGATTCCATTTATTAAGGACCACTTTCACTCGGACACGTGTGCTCCAGTGCCTTCCTACTGATCAAAGAGGGATCAGGACACCCCAATGGGACAAGTTAATTCTTTTTCTTTGAGTTTGACTGTAAACTTCGGCAGGAAGTTCTGGTTGTTCGTCCACCTCTGGACTTTACTCTTGTTCCAGAATTTGAGTGTTGCATGTACATCCCATTTACAGATCTGACTTATTTGAATGCAGCTGCTGGTTCTTAGGTAGATGCACTCCGACTTCAAATGAAGCTCCCAATCAGTCGACTCTTACGACATGCTTGTTTGTGAGGCAGTGGTTCTATTCTTTTTTTCCCCCAAAAACAGTGTCCCGAGACCCACAAAAGAGCATAAGTTCCCCACAAATTAATGTGGGTCTCAACACATATATAAACTACACAGCATGGGTAAGGATCCAACTATAAGTATACCTGAATACAAGAAATACAAATTGTAAGGAGTTATATTTTCTAAATTTGATATTCAGCCTAGCAGCAGCCTATTTCACCTACTCCCTTCTCTTTCTTATTGATGACTTTTTTTTTTTTTTTACATGCATAACATAACATGAATCCTTCAAGTATATTACCAAAGAAGTCTTGGCACTTGATACACTACCTCAGTATTAGGAGGCATTAACATCTTTTGATTCGGTAGTTACAATTTGTGGCCCTTTACAAAATTAAATTATCCGTTCAGCATAATGGCTTTTGCTCGCGCTTTATGTGTGTTTTATAGTTGCACTAGAGCCTTTAAAGGACCTCCAAATCTGATGAAGGATGGAGTCCAAACCCTGAACTAGGTCCCCCAGAGCATATGATAAATTGCACTTTGCCATGAAAACCGCTAAAAAATACCAAAAATTCCTACCAACTTCATTCCTGATACAAAAATCTACATTTTTGGAAGCCACTGGAGAATGCCCATGATCTGCCCCCACCTTTTCCCAAAGATCAATCAGTGTATACAGTTGCGTTGAATGGGGTTCCACTGACAACACCAGTAGATGAAAGGAAAAAGAAGACACCACACAAATATGACGTCATGTCCCACCAAACTAGCCAGTAGACCAAAAATTCCTGGTGAAGACAGATGTGTCGGCCGAAAGGCATAAATATCGCAGTTATGCTGTAATCAGGCACCAAGTCATTACGTCATTCCGATGAAGAAAAAGAAGAAATCTACAAATCATCGTAAACACACATCAGCACTTACGTTGTATTAAATGTATTTTTAGCATAGTAGATCACTAGCTGCTTCCCATCAACTTCCAGCGGAGGGTCCAACCTATTCAGTGTGTCCAACACGTGTGTGGAGGCAGACACCGAATGGAACTCCACAAAACCAAATCCCCGAGAGGTACCCAAAGTGTCACGAACAATTATAATGTTTTTTATGGGTGCCAATGGGTGCGGAGCGCAGGCCTGGGAAAGTGCTGCAACTAAAGTTTCTTCTGTTGTCAGAGCATCTAGGCCTCGGAATATCAGAGCTGTCACAGAACAGAAAGGAAAATTGTGCTTTCATTTGTATTAGATATGTTGTTAACAGATATTAATACAAACAGAATATACATAACTATACAGAACGCCCGGCTCTCTAGCGAAGTTGGTTAAACCTGACTTTCGCGGCGGCCGGGTGACGAACTCCTTGTGGTCCGGGTTCACTCCCGGGGGTAGGCAGAAAAGCCACATTTCTCCCAGATTAACGGTACCTATAATGGAATCAATGCCGAAGGGTTGCGATATCCATGGTACCGAGCCAAAGGGTACTCATGGTTTCTGGATACGTTAAAAAAAAAAAAAAATATACAGAACATGTTTTTGAACTCTATACAAGACAATCATTTCATTAAAGTAAATGATTCGTCTATTTCTTCGTGTTCAAGGGCTGTAAACTCCAGCAGATAGTTCTGGTCTTTCAACCATTTCTGGACTTTAGGCATCCCAGGAATTGAATATTCGTGCAAATCTGTTCTACAAATCTGGCTTATTTGAATGCAGACTGTTAGCTCCTCACCACTCTGGCAGATGCAAATCGACTTTGAAAGAAACACCAGTCGCCTCCTATATGCTTTTTAGGACAGAAGTGGGTATATTTCCCCCTCCCTCCCAAACAGGGTCCAAGAAAACCACACATTGAATAAAGTGAGTTAATCGTAATGATCTATTTGTGCCTAACTGTTTCAGCTTTCCTCACTAACGTTCCTGTCATCCTTCTTTACCTCTTTGCTAGTATCTTCCCCCATATATATATTTAACACTAAATTAATAAGACAGTGCATGTAAGTAAAGGATCCTTTTCCACGCTTCAGTGTGCATTTAGAGCTTAATATATTTTATAAACCAATCGGCACTCATTGGGCGATGTGATTAGCATCATGCTGGCCGCCTTTACTTCCCAGGCCTGTACCTGGTATCCACTCCCGGCTGAGCTGACCTAGAAGCCAAGGTAATTTTTTTAACAAGTCAGGATCCAAATCCATGACCTTCACATCCATAGGTGAGCATCCAGCCGCTACAACCCTGCTCTTGATGATGCATGTGGAGATACCATTGGTTGTTGGGGTGGTTACATGTTAACAATTCTATAGTTGTCTTCCGCTCTTCTTACTTTCATATGCATGTCTGCATTCGTACATATGCAATCTACAGCTCTAATTCATGTCAGTCACCTTTGTCTTCCAAAACATTTCAGACTGATCAAACTAGGAGCCCCGATTAATTAAGGAGATTGAGAATACATGACCATCGATACAACACAGGGCACCCCCCCCCCCCCATGATACAATACTGAATTCACATACTGTTGCAGGGGTTGGTTCCAATCTCCTCTTGCCCATAACACGATCTGCCCTTTTCGGACTCTGCAAAAAATGGAAACAAACACAAATAATATAATGTGCATTAAATTTTAAAAAAATTACCGCTGCCAACCTCATAAGTCATCATGAACAAATCAAAATGAAACTGCTGAAGGGCTTGATATGCCTTCAAGTTTACATGAGATCAAACTGAAAGAAATGCTGCAAACTGAAACGACAAAGCAAAACAGATGGAGACCAAACAACATATGGAGAAGAAAATGAGAGGCAGAGACAAATAATACAGAGAGGATATGGAGTGAACTAAGGGAGACGGCAAAAGATCAAGCAGCCAGGGAATGAGATGGTTAGGGTGTACACAACAGTGGAGGATAATGGGCACAAGAAGAAACTGGTGGGTATTATATTTATAGCCACAAAGACAACTCATTTATCAAGGCCTATGCTACATTGGAGGATAATGGGCACAAGAAGAAACTGGTGGGTATTATATTTATAGCCACAAAGACAACTCATTTATCAAGGCCTATGCTACAGTGGAGGACAATGGTCAGCAGAAGAAACTGGTGGGTATTATATTTATAGCCACAAAGAGAACTCATTTATCAAGGCCTATGCTACAGTGGAGGATAATGGGCACAACAAGAAACTGGTGGGTATTATATTTATAGCCACAAAGAGAACTCATTTATCAAGGCCTATGCTACAGTGGAGGACAATGGTCAGCAGAAGAAACTGGTGGGTATTATATTTATAGCCACAAAGACAACTCATTTATCAAGGCCTATGCTACAGTGGAGGATAATGGGCACAACAAGAAACTGGTGGGTATTATATTTATAGCCACAAAGAGAACTCATTTATCAAGGCCTATGCTACAGTGGAGGATAATGGGCACAAGAAGAAACTGGTGGGTATTATATTTATAGCCACAAAGAGAACTCATTTATCAAGGCCTATGCTACAGTGGAGGATAATGGGCACAAGAAGAAACTGGTGGGTATTATGTTTGTAGCCACAAAGACAACTCATTTATCAAGGCATATGCTACATTGGAGGATAATGGGCACAAGAAGAAACTGGTGGGTATTATATTTATAGCCACAAAGACAACTCATTTATCAAGGCCTACACTACAGTGGAGGATAATGGGCACAAGAAGAAACTGGTGGGTATTATATTTATAGCCACAAAGACAACTCATTTATCAAGGCCTACACTACATTGGAGGATAATGGGCACAAGAAGAAACTGGTGGGTATTATGTTTGTAGCCACAAAGACAACTCATTTATCAAGGCCTATGCTACAGTGGAGGACAATGGGCAGCAGAAGAAACTGGTGGGTATTATATTTATAGCCACAAAGACAACTCATTTATCAAGGCTTATTCTAAAGTGAAGGACAATAGGCACAAGAAGAAACTGGTGGGTGTTATATTTATAGCCACAAAGACAACTCATCACCTATTAGGGCCTAGGCTACAGTGGAGGACAATGGTCACAAAAATAAACATTATATTTATAGCCACAAAGACAACTCATTTATCAAGGCCTATTCTACAGTGAAGGACAATAAGCAGCAGAAGAAACTGATGGGTATCTATAGCCACAATGGCTAAGAAGAATAAAACTGCTAACATAAAGGGGCAACCCTTTTTCGATTACCTTATAAGAAGAAGAAACAAACCAGGAGCATCCTTGTAAATCAAATGACTTTTTTTTAAAGCTGTGCTGACGTCAAATTTTCCCACGACCACAGCTCGATTTTTAGACCCCCAGGAATGCACTCTATTAAAGCTTCACTTCTTCCGTGTTTGTTGATTACTCATTTTATTATCTCTATATATTTCAGATTACTATAGCAGGAATGGGAGGCTATGAATCAGGGAACCAGACCTCCAGCACAACCCAGGGTCTGCTGGGAAGACATCCGACAGTCCCTGACTGACAGAGGACTGGAATGAAACAAAGCCGGAAAGAAAACTGCTGACAGAGAAGTCTGGCAATCTCTTTGGCAAACCTCTATATTGCAAAAAACAAGGTAAGTACATGTACATAATTTAAAATTTTTTAATGTATTAGTGACATGTATAAACTAGTATTTTTAAGGATTTCCTTTTTAGTTATTACCACAATCTCATGATCCAATATTTTTTCAGCGTTCTTGGGGCAGGTTAACCAATTTGCTGGTTTTTCACAGTTCTAAGCAAAGCGCAACAAACGTAAAATAACACGTTACCCAGTAACTAAATGTGAAATAACACGTTACCCAGTAATTAACATACATCAAGCAGATCTGCAATGTAACTGCCATAAGCTCCTACATGAAAATATCTCAAATTAACTGTAAACTTCGGAAACAAAAGCCAACACTTACCCTTACGAGGAAGGTTGCAATTATAACAGTAATCTCTGCGCTTGAAATTGTGACCCAAACACTGCAATTGAAATTGCGCAAGAATTTCTTATAACAATGTGGAAAATACAAGGCCAGAAGGACCATCCATTAAATTTATCACTTCTATTTACACACAAGATGGGCCAAAAGTGGGTTTACAGTACTGATCTAGTTGTGATTACTTTATGCAACGAAACCTCTTTTAGCAAGGGTGCAAAAAAAATAATTTATGAACCAGAATAAAATTGGTGCCTACTGGGCACAACTTTCTTCTTCAGAAATCAACATTTTTTTTATACAGTCCCCATGTGGGATGCAACTTTTCGCTATTTGAAGCCCCTCCCTGGCTTTTGCCAGGCCATAAATATGGCCTAGCAGCTGAAAGGGGTTTCTGGGACCTCTCCACAGGTGGATCCTCATCCTTATGGTGGCACTTTGTATCACTGGGTGTTATCGCTTGTGTGATATTCTGGTGGGGTACAACAAGAGAGAGATCAGCATTTGCTTTGCACTTATTTCAGCATGGTGCACAGCGTAAGGTCTCCACTGATGCTCCCATAGTCTGTCTTGCAGTTCACTCCTCTGGACCAGATTTATTCTCCTTGACAGGCATGTTTTCAGCAGTCATGTGAGAAATGTTTTAGGGTTTCTTTTGGTGTAGCAGAACCCCATGTGGCAGAGTCAGGGAGACCCATTTAATACGGGTCAGCTGTCATATTCTCAGTTAGAAAATGCTGGTCTGTGCATTCCTGCCAAGTAATCTATACTGATATGCACTGGTCTGTGATCTGTATTTTTCCTTTCCATTTTGTCACCATGGACTTCTTTAAAAGGGGGGCATCGCCTTAAGTGCTCCGTCTCTCAGTCAGCTGCAGGCATGTAGATAAGATGATTGTTCTCTCCAGTCTGTCTCCATGGACTTCTTTAAAAGGGGGGCATCGCCTTAAGTGCTCTGTCTCTCAGTCAGCTGTCAGCATGTAGATAAGATGATTGTTCTCTCCAGTCTGTCTCCATGGACTTCTTTAAAAGGGGGGCATCGCCTTAAGTGCTCTGTCTCTCAGTCAGCTGCAGGCATGTAGATAAGATGATTGTTCTCTCCAGTCTGTCTCCATGGACTTCTTTAAAAGGGGGGCATCGCCTTAAGTGCTCCGTCTCTCAGTCAGCTGCAGGCATGTAGATAAGATGATTGTTCTCTCCAGTCTGTCTCCATGGACTTCTTTAAAAGGGGGGCATCGCCTTAAGTGCTCTGTCTCTCAGTCAGCTGTCAGCATGTAGATAAGATGATTGTTCTCTCCAGTCTGTCTCCATGGACTTCTTTAAAAGGGGGGCATCGCCTTAAGTGCTCTGTCTCTCAGTCAGCTGCAGGCATGTAGATAAGATGATTGTTCTCTCCAGTCTGTCACCATGGACTTCTTTAAAAGGGGGGCATCGCCTTAAGTGCTCTGTCTCTCAGTCAGCTGTCAGCATGTAGATAAGATGATTGTTCTCTCCAGTCTGTCACCATGGACTTCTTTAAAAGGGGGGCATCGCCTTAAGTGCTCCGTCTCTCAGTCAGCTGCAGGCATGTAGATAAGATGATTGTTCTCTCCAGTCTGTCTCCATGGACTTCTTTAAAAGGGGGGCATCGCCATAAGTGCTCTGTCTCTCAGTCAGCTGTCAGCATGTAGATAAGATGATTGTTCTCTCCAGTCTGTCTCCATGGACTTCTTTAAAAGGGGGGCATCGCCTTAAGTGCTCCGTCTCTCAGTCAGCTGCAGGCATGTAGATAAGATGATTGTTCTCTCCAGTCTGTCTCCATGGACTTCTTTAAAAGGGGGGCATCGCCTTAAGTGCTCTGTCTCTCAGTCAGCTGTCAGCATGTAGATAAGATGATTGTTCTCTCCAGTCTGTCTCCATGGACTTCTTTAAAAGGGGGGCATCGCCTTAAGTGCTCTGTCTCTCAGTCAGCTGTCAGCATGTAGATAAGATGATTGTTCTCTCCAGTCTGTCTCCATGGACTTCTTTAAAAGGGGGGCATCGCCTTAAGTGCTCCGTCTCTCAGTCAGCTGCAGGCATGTAGATAAGATGATTGTTCTCTCCAGTCTGTCTCCATGGACTTCTTTAAAAGGGGGGCATCGCCTTAAGTGCTCTGTCTCTCAGTCAGCTGTCAGCATGTAGATAAGATGATTGTTCTCTCCAGTCTGTCTCCATGGACTTCTTTAAAAGGGGGGCATCGCCTTAAGTGCTCTGTCTCTCAGTCAGCTGTCAGCATGTAGATAAGATGATTGTTCTCTCCAGTCTGTCTCCATGGACTTCTTTAAAAGGGGGGCATCGCCTTAAGTGCTCCGTCTCTCAGTCAGCTGCAGGCATGTAGATAAGATGATTGTTCTCTCCAGTCTGTCTCCATGGACTTCTTTAAAAGGGGGGCATCGCCTTAAGTGCTCTGTCTCTCAGTCAGCTGTCAGCATGTAGATAAGATGATTGTTCTCTCCAGTCTGTCTCCATGGACTTCTTTAAAAGGGGGGCATCGCCTTAAGTGCTCCGTCTCTCAGTCAGCTGCAGGCATGTAGATAAGATGATTGTTCTCTCCAGTCTGTCTCCATGGACTTCTTTAAAAGGGGGGCATCGCCTTAAGTGCTCTGTCTCTCAGTCAGCTGTCAGCATGTAGATAAGATGATTGTTCTCTCCAGTCTGTCTCCATGGACTTCTTTAAAAAGGGGGGCATCGCCTTAAGTGCTCCGTCTCTCAGTCAGCTGCAGGCATGTAGATAAGATGATTGTTCTCTCCAGTCTGTCTCCATGGACTTCTTTAAAAGGGGGGCATCGCCTTAAGTGCTCTGTCTCTCAGTCAGCTGTCAGCATGTAGATAAGATGATTGTTCTCTCCAGTCTGTCTCCATGGACTTCTTTAAAAGGGGGGCATCGCCTTAAGTGCTCTGTCTCTCAGTCAGCTGTCAGCATGTAGATAAGATGATTGTTCTCTCCAGTCTGTCTCCATGGACTTCTTTAAAAGGGGGGCATCGCCATAAGTGCTCTGTCTCTCAGTCAGCTGTCAGCATGTAGATAAGATGATTGTTCTCTCCAGTCTGTCTCCATGGACTTCTTTAAAAGGGGGGCATCGCCATAAGTGCTCTGTCTCTCAGTCAGCTGTCAGCATGTAGATAAGATGATTGTTCTCTCCAGTCTGTCTCCATGGACTTCTTTAAAAGGGGGGCATCGCCTTAAGTGCTCTGTCTCTCAGTCAGCTGTCAGCATGTAGATAAGATGATTGTTCTCTCCAGTCTGTCTCCATGGACTTCTTTAAAAGGGGGGCATCGCCATAAGTGCTCTGTCTCTCAGTCAGCTGTCAGCATGTAGATAAGATGATTGTTCTCTCCAGTCTGTCTCCATGGACTTCTTTAAAAGGGGGGCATCGCCTTAAGTGCTCTGTCTCTCAGTCAGCTGTCAGCATGTAGATAAGATGATTGTTCTCTCCAGTCTGTCTCCATGGACTTCTTTAAAAGGGGGGCATCGCCTTAAGTGCTCTGTCTCTCAGTCAGCTGTCAGCATGTAGATAAGATGATTGTTCTCTCCAGTCTGTCTCCATGGACTTCTTTAAAAGGGGGGCATCGCCTTAAGTGCTCTGTCTCTCAGTCAGCTGTCAGCATGTAGATAAGATGATTGTTCTCTCCAGTCTGTCTCCATGGACTTCTTTAAAAGGGGGGCATCGCCTTAAGTGCTCTGTCTCTCAGTCAGCTGTCAGCATGTAGATAAGATGATTTGTTCTCTCCAGTCTGTCTCCATGGACTTCTTTAAAAGGGGGGCATCGCCTTAAGTGCTCTGTCTCTCAGTCAGCTGTCAGCATGTAGATAAGATGATTGTTCTCTCCAGTCTGTCTCCATGGACTTCTTTAAAAGGGGGGCATCGCCTTAAGTGCTCTGTCTCTCAGTCAGCTGTCAGCATGTAGATAAGATGATTGTTCTCTCCAGTCTGTCTCCATGGACTTCTTAGATAAGGGGGGATGCCTTAAGTGCTCTGTCTCTCAGTCAGCTGTGTCCAGTCTGTCTCCATGGACTTCTTTAAAAGGGGGGCATCGCCTTAAGTGCTCCGTCTCTCAGTCAGCTGCCGGTATGTAGATAAGATGATTGTTCCAAAAGTGTGCCATTTAGAAATGTGCCTCGTCCCCCACCTGCCATCACTCAAAGTGTTGCCAAATGACAGTCACTGTCATCATCATTTGCTATATTGATATGCATGGAAATTACCGTCTTTTATCCCATACAAGCATCAAGATCTGAGAATCAGGTCTGTGTTCTTCTCTGGCATATACATATGTATCCAGCCATCCTGTGTAACGTTTTGCTTAGCACTCTAGATTTTGACATGGCAGCATATTGTGTGACTAACCCTGTCACTGCTAGATGACTCAATCTATTCACTCTGGTTTGTGACAGTCTCATACATGCCGGTGTGTCTGCTGTTGAAGTGACCTGCTCTTTATAAATGCAATTAAATTCCATTGGGTCTTTGCGCGCTTGCTCAGCGTTTAATAGGCCAGGATATGAATATATTAACTAAAAAAATAGCATTTAAGGTGGGGAGGAATCCTTTAACTCCAGTGGCCTAGTTGATGTCAAATGTCCGTGTAAACCCCACAGATAGAGGCCACTGTGTCACGGCATAATCATCCACTACAGATTAATCTGTCTAGACCCTGGCGGGTATATTCCATTTAATGCTTCACTCCATTTGCTGTTGAAAATTACACCTTTTATACATCTATACATTTTGTTTTTAAATTCATAATGTAAATAAATGTCACAAAAATTTATTAGCCCCGTGTACAATTTTTATTTCTATTTAAGGACTTTTATCAAGGAATTTCCACAGATCCCCCCCCCCCCCCTACCTTCCACGTTTGTATGTTACGCTGTGATAGGGTTCAGAAAGAGAAGCTGACAAACTACTTGCTGTTTGAAATAGTATGCAAATTGTCACTCTACAGCAGGGCAATTCAAACTGGCGGCTTTCAGGCCAAACCTGGCCCGTGAAGGCCTGCCTAGCAAGTGGCCCTTTGGCTTCTGGCCCATAATAGATCCTCATTTTCCAACATTTTGGCCCCTGAGTAAACTTAGTTAAATAGCTCTGCTCTACAGTAACAACTGTAACATACACTGACCAGCGTGGTCACTGAGCAGCTGACAAACTACTTGCTATTTTAAACAGTATGTAAAGTGTCACTCAACAGTGATAACTGTAATGTACCCTGACCAGCGTGGTCACTGAGCAGCTGACAAACTACTTGCTATTTGAAACAGTATGTAAAGTGTCACTCAACAGTGATAACTGTAATGTACACTGACCAGCCTGGTCACTAAGCAGCTGACAAACTACTTGCTATTTGAAACAGTATGTAAAGTGTCACTCAACAGTGATAACTGCAATGTACACTGACCAGCGTGGTCACTGAGCAGCTGACAAACTACTTGCTATTTGAAACAGTTTGTAAAGTGTCACTCAACAGTGATAACTGTAACGTACACTGACCAGCCTGGTCACTGAGCAGCTGACAAACTACTTGCTATTTGAAACAGTATGTAAAGTGTCACTCAACAGTGATAACTGTAACGTACACTGACCAGCCTGGTCACTGAGCAGCTGACAAACTACTTGCTATTTGAAACAGTATGTAAAGTGTCACTCTACAGTAACAACTGTAACATACACTGACCACCGTGGTCACGGACATGAAGGAAGGCAATATGCAATCATCTTCATCCCAAATGCCCAGTCCATGATTTTATAAATTATATCAGTCAGGCTGGTTCATCAACCTATGCCAGCCTATATGAACTTGTTACACGAAACATATAATCTATATCCCTTGTCCACCCCCTCTTAACTGTTGCTCTTTTGGTTCCCCTTCAGAGCCTTCATAATTGTTGTCCTCGAGGCCAACACGTAAGTTTACCCAATGCCTGAATCTCAGCATGACCTGAGCAGAAGGTCCACCAAGTGTTACAGGGTGTGTGTACCTTGGGGGAAAAAATGTTGAAATTTATCTTCGGCCCCCCCCCCATAGCACGACACTGAAAATCATGAAAAATTTACCACATGACCAGGCATGTAGATGCACTTTTGGCCCACCTTAAATTTACATATTCTAAAAATACACACATAAATAAAGCATACTGTTAAAGATTCAACTTCAGCGGACATAAACGACATGAAAACTACCATACCTTGATGCAAACCCAATCATTCCGCTGCAGGTTGTTGTCCCTGCTCATTCCTCTGTCACGGGTGACACTGTAAGCCATGGTTGCCCGGTACTGGTTCAGAAGCATAACACTTCCCTGCGGAAAATACAACAAAACCTGTCAGCACCCAGATTCCTCGACACTTTAGGCATTGCCAAACCGGTTCCCAAATCTCTCACAAGCTTTAGATGAAAAGCCACGCCGCGAGGCGACCAGACAATGCATGTCAGAGAACAAGGCACAAGCACAACAAAGGTAACAGAGACAAGGCAATCAAAGACTGGTCCAAGAGACAGAAGGTCAAATGTGTGTCAAGATGTTAGATAATACATTTTGTACATTGTACACATTTCATCTCAAATTTCATGTACATGTTACAACATAAAGCCTAGCAGATTAAACAGCTTTACTTTCTATTACATTCTGTATTTAAAATCAATAAACATAGCCGTCATTCTGTCTGTTGTGGATTACTAAAGAGATAACGATGATAAATATCTGGTGTACTTCAATCATATACACTGCAATAACAGGGGCAACATATTCATTTTTATTTAGACTCAATTATGATGTCATACAAGAAATAAGTTGTTAGATTTTAACTAAAATTCTTATACACAATGTAATGACCTTGCGGGGAAAGAGAGGCAGAGGGAGACCAAAAAGGGAAAAGAAGCTGACTGGCAACATGGCATGGAAATGACCTGCAAATAGAAAATATACAAGATAAGACAATAAAGGTGTAAAGAAACTGGCCAGATCAGGGGAGAAAACAATATCTACACGTCTATTTCTTGTGGAACACAAACAATGTATATAGAAAAAGGTATTAAAAAAATATGCAACGCGGAAAAAATTTTTTAGTAAAGGAATTATAAGTGGAGAAAGACAGTGAGGAAGCAAATACCCTTGCATTGAATGGAAATAGAAGACGGAAACCTGCATCGCCTAGATAAACAGTATTTCATAACTACAAAGCTCTTCACTAAATGGTTTCAAGTATCCCCTACATAAACTAAGTAACAAGTAAATACCCTTGTCAAAATTGGGCATGTAGTGCTAAACTTATTTTTTTTTTATAGACCAACCAGCCCTTAATGGGTGAGGTCATTAACATCACGCCAGCTGCCTTTACTTCCCAGCACCCCCTGTAGACTAGGTCAACATAGGAATCAGCCATTAATTTTTGTAAACTGCATCGGTGCGGATTTGAACCCTAGACCTTCATTTCGACAGGAGAGTGATTAGCCACTAGATTACGTTACCTTCCCTGATAAAGAGTATTTATACACAAAACAAATCACAAATGAAGGATAAACATTAGTCAAGTGTAGAATAAGTTGTGATGCCAATAACATGACAGAAACCATCTCCCTGATGAGAATAATGTCAGAAATACATTTTTCAAATGACAAAAACAAGGTGTTTCATAAAGTCAACACTTCAACAACATAGTCAATGATTCACATTTGAAGGCACATCTGCCGAGGAATAAAGAATTGTGGTGCCACAGTGGCTACTGCACTTACAAACCAACCCGGTGGCTGCCTTTCAAATCTTCCCTTTAAAGCAGATTTTGCGTTAACCACATATTTTAGTGAAGACCCAGCTTCACAGAATAGGTACCAGAATATTTTCTGGAAGGTATGCCAGTGGGGTGATTCTGATCAAGCATCAATGTCGAGACAGTGTGGTCTGCCCCATCAATGTCAAGGGAAAGTGGTCTGGCACATCAATGTCAAGACAATGTGGTCTGGCACATCAATGTCAAGGGAAAGTGGTCTGGCACATCAATGTCAAGACAATGTGGTCTGGCACATCAATGTCAAGGGAAAGTGGTCTGGCACATCAATGTCAAGACAATGTGGTCTGCCCCATCAATATCAAGGGAAAGTGGTCTGGCACATCAATGTCAAGACAATGTGGTCTGGCACATCAATGTCAAGACAATGTGGTCTGGCACATCAATGTCAAGACAATGTGGTCTGGCACATCAATGTCGAGACAATGTGGTCTGGCACATCAATGTCAAGACAATGTGGTCTGGCCCATCAATGTCGAGACAATGAGGTCTGGAACATCAATGTGGTCTGGAACATCAATGTCGAGACAATGTGACATCAAGGTCAAGACAATGTGGTCTGGCACATCAATGTCGAGACAATGTGGTCTGGCACATCAATGTCGAGACAATGTGACATCAAGGTCAAGACAATGTGGTCTGGCACATCAATGTCGAGACAATGTGGTCTGGCACATCAATGTCGAGACAATGTGGTCTGGCACATCAATGTCGAGACAATGTGGTCTGGCACATCAATGTCGAGACAATGAGGTCTGGAACATCAATGTGGTCTGGAACATCAATGTCGAGACAATGTGGTCTGGCACATCAATGTCGAGACAATGAGGTCTGGCACATCAATGTCGAGACAATGTGGTCTGGCACATCAATGTCGAGACAATGTGGTCTGGAACATCAATGTCGAGACAATGTGGTCTGGCACATCAATGTCAAGGGAAAGTGGTCTGGCACATCAATGTCAAGACAATGTGGTCTGGCACATCAATGTCGAGACAATGAGGTCTGGCACATCAATGTCAAGACAATGTGGTCTGGGCCATCAATGTCGAGACAATGAGGTCTGGCACATCAATGTCAAGACAATGTGGTCTGGCACATCAATGTGGTCTGGAACATCAATGTCGAGACAATGTGACATCAAGGTCAAGACAATGTGGTCTGGCACATCAATGTCGAGGCAATGAGGTCTGGCACATCAATGTGGTCTGGGCCATCAATGTCAAGGGAAAGTGGTCTGGCACATCAATGTGGTCTGGAACATCAATGTCAAGGGAAAGTGGTCTGGCACATCAATGTCAAGGGAAAGTGGTCTGGCACATCAATGTCGAGACAATGAGGTCTGGCACATCAATGTGGTCTGGGCCATCAATGTCGAGACAATGAGGTCTGGCACATCAATGTCAAGACAATGTGGTCTGGCACATCAATGTCGAGACAATGTGGTCTGGCACATCAATGTCGAGACAATGTGGTCTGGCACATCAATGTCGAGACAATGTGGTCTGGCACATCCATGTCGAGACAATGTGGTCTGGCACATCCATGTCGAGACAATGTGGTCTGGCACATCAATGTCGAGACAATGTGGTCTGGAACATCAATGTGGTCTGGCACATCAATGTCGAGACAATGTGGTCTGGCACATCAATGTCGAGACAATGTGGTCTGGAACATCAATGTGGTCCGGCACATCAATGTCAAGACAATGTGGTCTGGCACATCAATGTCGAGACAATGTGACATCAAGGTCAAGAGAATGTGGTCTGGCACATCAATGTCGAGACAATGTGGTCTGGCACATCAATGTCGAGACAATGTGGTCTGGCACATCAATGTCGAGACAATGAGGTCTAGCTCATCAAGGGCAGTGTGTCAATGCTTGTTTTTCCCCCAATGGGGCCCCTGAACCCACACGAGAAGGAGTAATAAATCAATATAAACATGGAAAAGGGGGCCAATAAATGGTACATTTACCTTTAAAAAAAAGTATGTCTCTTGTGACTCATGAATGACCCCGTGACCTCTATCACTGAGGCTTTCAGGGAACTTTAAGATCAACTTGTCTTTATAAAAGCAATTTAGTTTGCAGGAAAACTTCACTAATGTTAGTTATAGTTTTAATATATTCCCACCAGGGCCTCCAAAAGAAAAATAAAACCAATGACATTTTAGTATGTTTTTAATTAATTTTGTTTTCAGAACAAGGTCACAATAGAAGTGTCAAAACAGCATTTACAAGGAATGTGTCACAACCAAAAAAAATGTTGAGAAATAAGATAAATATTTGGACAACCACTGGTATCAAAAGTTATAAAACAAAGAAGGTGGCATTTTATGTAGCACATCCAGAGAAGCAGACACCAAAGAATCACAAAACAGGCCCTGAAATAGGAAATGATTTGAGGAGACGAGAACATCCCCAAGAGAAGCAACCAAAAACAAAACATTGCTAAGAAAAGCCAAAAAAGACAGACTGGATTTCACCTACGATATCTAAAAGATTGCACAAGTTAGAACAGAATGGATAACTAGATTGCAAGTCCTATGTGACATGTGATAGGATGATGATAAACATGTAAACACTAGGACGGTAAGCTTATTCCATTTACGTCCGTCCACTCTGCCCTAATCATCAAATCTGAGTCACTGTAGAGAAGCAGCATATAAACCCTACATTCTGTACTTCATAAAGATGATGGTGACATATCATGGTCTTTGCAACCAATCTTTCATCATATGAAATGTTGATAAGCATAGATGCTCAATGTTCGCCATCTCATACAATCAGGACTGTTTTTGGGCCTCACCAAAACCATGGTAAGGTAAATAGGATTCTGAGAACAGTATAACTAAAAGGGCATTACACTGGAACCCACTGAGGCATAGAAATAAAGGCATCCCACACCCATTAAAAAAACAAATTGGAGAAGTGAGCTAAAGAGTGAAGTTTAAAAGATAGGGAGGACATGGGGTGAGCTGCATGCAAACAGCAAAGAATAGGTGTGAGTTAGCTGACGGCCTGTGCTCAGTCGGGAGATAAACTATCAGGTAAAAAGGAAGAAGAACGTCATATGCTTAATATATCGATATGCCACTATCATCTTTCTGAAGCACTGTAAGCAGGGCTGTGTTAATACTGCAACATCAAGCCTCACGCTACTTATCACACTTTCCACTGCAACAGTCACCGCTTCTCCCACCCAAACCTGACCCATCCCCCATAAACACACAAGACCAAACCAAGCAGCTGCAATAATGTGGATGTTGTAGAGGAACAGCCTACATTCCACAACACTCTTTCAAAAAATAATCTGTCTGCATTATGAACCTGTGTGTGCTCCATCCAGCGCTGGGCATCTGATAGGTTATGAAACTCCACAAAAGCAAAGCCTCGAGAGACACCTGTGTAAGCAAGGTGGAAACGAAGCTTGTTAAATAAAACATTCAAACTTCAAAAACAAGTGGGCATCAGTTTGCAGAACCAACAGAGTCAAACCAACACTTACCTGATCAGAGCCTAGATGTTCAACCCTCTGGACCAGCATTTTAGCCTGTGTATTGTTTCTTCATACAAACAGTAACATTGTATCAAATTGTCTCAGTAACAGAATTGTAGAAACCACATTGTAAAGTTTACCATTTGTCACAGACATGTACAGTTCAATTTTCTTGCATTCACTTTTTCAACATATGAGGACAAACTTTCAAAAACTACTGTTACTTCCCAAAAAATAAAAATCACTGTTAGCACTGAAATTGGTATGCATTTCTTTATCTGTGACATTCTTATTGTTTCTTTCCACTGTCAGTCTAATATTCATCTTTTCAAGTGAGAAAATACTGATAAATTTTCAAAATATGATATGCTGCATACGGTTGTTGTGGATGTATGTCAGTATTTGAAATATATTCAACATAGTATATGACAGCAGCACTAGTCAAAAACAAACAATGGCATACATAATATAAACAGTGTTCCAAAACTTGTAAACATGTGGCCCCCAATTACTACTACACATCATCAAACACAGATGAGACAGATGGCTACAACAGTACAGTTCAAGGAATGAGAAACACTGTACCTGAAGCTTTCCTGATCAGCCGGATGTCTTTCACTGGAAGTCCAAAAAGCATCAGCTCAGCTCCAATCTGCACACAAAGACAGCAATTAAACTTACAATAATAAGCTTCTGCACACAAAGACAGCAATTAAACTTACAATAATAAGCATCTGCACACAAAGACAGCAATTAAACTTACAATAATAAGCATCTGCACACAAAGACAGCAATTAAACTTACAATAATAAGCATCTGCACACAAAGACAGCAATTAAACTTACAATAATAAGCTTCTGCACACAAAGACAGCAATTAAACTTACAATAATAAGCTTCTGCACACAAAGACAGCAATTAAACTTACAATAATAAGCTTCTGCACACAAAGACAGCAATTAAACTTACAATAATAAGCATCTGTACACAAAGACAGCAATTAAACTTACAATAATAAGCATCTGCACACAAAGACAGCAATTAAACTTACAATAATAAGCATCTGCACACTGGCAGTATGGTGATGTAGCGGCTAGACACTTGCGTGTGGACCTGAAGGTCGTGGGTTCAAACCTGAACGCTACTGGACTTTTTTAACACATGACCTTGTCTCCCAGGTCAACCCAGCATTAAATGGGTGCCAGGTAAAGTCCTGGGAAGTGAAGGTGGCCTGTGTGGTGATGCCCACATCACCTATCAGGTGCTGATTGGTCTATCAAATATAGATTTACCCTGATATGTCCAATACATCTAAAGGCATGGAAAAACAGGGTCGGTGGCAATGCTGCATGTGTGAACCCACAAAACTATGATGGGCTATTAAAGTATGACTGCAACTGAGCACTCTATTTTAACCCCCCCCCCCCCCCCCAATACATATTTTAAACATCAAACACAACAACTTTAATATGTTATTAAATATTCAAAGCACCTGTATGTTTAGTGCTGACATTTAAACATCAAACAGAACAACTTTAATATTGTATTACATTTTTAAAACACCTGTATGTTTACTACTGTGCATTAAAACATCAAACAGAACAACTTTACTAACATATTTAGGATCATAACTTTTGGAGGTAAAATTTTTTTTGGGGAGGGGGTGGGGAAGTGCATATTATAACATGCAGTAGAAGAATAGCCATGGGATCAGCAATGATTATAATGCCACATTCACCTAAGCAGAAGCCAAATCAAAGACATAGAATGTATGCAGAGGTCCTAAGTGATACTAATATTGTAGTTAGCACTTATGGGTTACATGAATGTGCCATGTTGATACGTCGAATAAACATAAAATTGTTAGTGAATATGCATACAAAACAATGGTTGCAGCAAACTTATGCACAAACATACAGGCAGAAAAAAACAGAACAGAAAGAAGAAAAAAACCAAAATGCACCACTCTCTGTTCATTCAGACATATCACTTTCTTTAACCTCTACTGCACTGATTCTCAACCTTCCTAATGCCGCCACCCTTTAATACAGTTCCTCGTGTGGTGGCGAACCCAGCTATACAATTATTTTTGTCGCTATTTCAACACTTTAATGAACATTAGTTTCGTGATGGTATTGGCGACCCCTGTAAAAGGGTTGTTTGAACCACACACACAAAAAAGGTTGCGACCCATAGATTTGAGAACTGCTGCTCTACTGCATCTGAGAACTGAATGGAAGGTAACATGTCTGGAGTGAGGACTGCTTGGTGCAGCGGGGGTGAGGAGATCAGGGTTTGTAGTGAGGAAATGCTGGTGGGGAAGAATATGAATACTGGCATATACTGTTTGTGTATTTACTTATACATGTGCAGACCGGATAAGGGGAACTCACCCGGAAATCAAGAAATAGTAATTCTTATCAGAAATTCCTCTTATCCAGAGATGAGTTCAAGCAAGAAAAATTGCTGAGGTTAAACAAACTGTTCTTCACAACAGAAATTCACCACATCTGAGATCATCTTAAATGCTCAGCACTGTATATTTAATTGCAATTATCTGTGCATAAGATGACTGCAAATTTTAAACTGACAATATGTGGGGGAAATACACAGAAAAATACGGTAAGTCTAGCACTATATACCAAAGGCATGAAAAGAGTCCTTTTTAATTTTAATAATATTAGAAAGAAACAAGCCAAAAACTTACAATTTTCTCATCCACATCCAGAGTCAACCCCCTAAGAATGATCGTTCGAGATGGCTGAACGGTCACCCACTTGTCCCCACCCCTGTCTTCATTCATTCGGTTGTCGGAGTCCCGGCTTCGATACCTGTCAGAACAGCCACTGTCACTCCTATCGTCATCTCCAGAATTGCGCTGCAAATGATAAATTAGAATAATTGTAACAATGCTTCAACAGATAGGCCAGGGAACTCTTGATAAAACTATCTGGCATTACATAAGTCGACATAGAAACCCCAGGTCAGTACATTCCGTTACCTCAGGTGGTGTTAATGCATGGGAAATGCGTAAAAGTATGAGGCAGCAGAAAAGCGTGCCAGAACAGAATGTGTGTATTCTGGAATGCATGAGCCTGCGAGGGTCTATTAGAAAATGTCAGGACATACAAAGTCATTGAGTATTGAGAGGACCCCAATATCACGTATGTAAAATAATTTCATATGCGAAGAAGATTATACATGTGAATATGATGTAGGACCCCTTCAGAAGTACCTACATCACGCCGACCACTTTTACTTCCCAGGACTTTACCTGGTACATATTTAAGGCAGGGCTGTGCTCATTTGACAGTGCGATGTGCTGTTTTAATAGTGTGTTGTGCTATCCCGATAGTGTATTTTGCTGTTCTGCTAGTGCTTCTTCACTATAATTAGTGGTGTAAGCAGAATTCAAAGTTTCCCTTGTGGGTCCAGGACCCCATTTTAGGAGGAAACAATTCTCCCATGTGGGTTCCAGTGCCCTATTATAGGGAAAACAAGAATAGACCCACTGCCTGCCCAAAAGCATGCTGTAAGAGTCAAATAATTGGGAGCTTCCTTCGAAATCGGAGTGCTTCTGAATAAGATATGGCTCTGGAATCCACACAGATAAAACAGTATACTACAAAGTAATGATGAAAGTATATTTCAATTGGAAACTGAAGGCCATTGATGCAAACTATTGATCCTAATAAAACTGGACTTTTTTAAAGATGACCTTGGCTCCCAGGTCGACCTAGCCTTAAATCGGTACTGGGAAGTAAAGGTGGGCAGAGTGATGCTAAACACATCACCCATGAGTGGTGATTGGTCTATAAAATGTAGGTCTAGCCCTATATGCCCAATACCCCTAAGGTATGGGAAAGGGTCCTTTTAATTGCAATGTACAAGGGGACCAAGATAAGTAATGACAAACTTTGAAGAAATAGACCCACTGCCTCTCCAAAAGCGTGTTGTAAGAGTCGAACAATTGGGGGTTTCCTTTAAAGTCAGAGTGCATCTGCCTGAGGCAAGGAACCAACAGTCTGCTTAAAAATTAGTCACAGATCAGTAAAACGGATGTACACGTAACACTCATGGAACAAGGCAGAAGTCCACAGATGGACGAACAACCAGAACTTTCCATCGGAGTTTACAGCAGGTGAACAAGAAGAAGAAGAAATTAACAGCAAAACTAACAACTTTCACATAAAACACATTTACAAATGACAAAATTAATGCTGGGGATCAAAAAACTTTTATCGGCAAACAACACAAACAATGGTTCATAGATAAATTCAACCAACCTTCTCCAAGGGTTTCTCAATGTCTTTTTGCATTTTCAAGTTTGTACCCGGTTTATAAAGTACATGATCTGAGCACGAATTTATACACATATGTACAGTGTGTTGACACACAAATATTATATATAAATATGTTTTCAAAGGATTTTGGATCCTTCAGTTTTCATTTTCCCCCCCCCCTTTAAAGTTGATGTTTCCCCCCACCCCCCCCCCTGACCACCAATGATACCCACCACCCCCCCCCCGAGTTTATCACAACCTTTAAAGTTGATGTTTCAGGGTATTCCTAGTTTTCAAGGACCACTATGAGCCCTGATAAACAGTCAATGATATAATCACATAGATTTAAAAAAATAATATTAATAATAATAAAAGAAAAACAGCTGTTCAGAAATTCTGTTTGCAATGATTCAAAATTCTAGCTACTTACTCCCTCATCACTGGAAATCGGACTCCTGTCCCTGCTATCACTACTGTCACGATGTCGTCTGGAGCGATTACTGTCCCTGTCGTGCCTTCGCCTGTCTCTATCTCTGAAATGACAGTCATTTTATCACACACATACATATACATGTTTAAGGGTTATGAATAAAAACATGCATTTGCACGAATGCTATTGTATCGTTTCCATTTGTGTTCGCCTTAAAAAAGGCGGCCTGTGTGTGTATTGGTGTACAGCTAGGCTGCGATATCTGCTTTTCAGCCCAACATATCCGCTTCCAGCAAATCTAATTAGTTGCCTTTAACAGCATGCTTGTTGCAGGGATAGTGCATCTGTCTATCCCTCTGCCCCCCCCCCCCCCCACCAATAGGATGTACTCAGGAAGAATTTAATGGTATAAAAGAATATATTATCAAGTATTTTTGACTGGTATGAGAGATCATGCTTCTACACATCTCAGATTCTCTAACAACATGTGTTAATTCATGTACCGATACCTTTCCACCTGGTAACTTGAGTTTCAGCTTCACAGCAAATGGTTCACCCACAGCCTTCAGAAATGCTAACACAAACAGTCAGACTTTAGAAATGCAGTTCATCATTGACCAAAATAGCAGTTACAAACAGATTAGCAGTTGCACACGCGATCAATACATAAGGCTTTAACAATTCTGTGGCAACAGGCCACACACTATTATTTGAATCCACAGTTTACAACACCACAGTGGTCACAGTCAAAAACATTCCACATGAAATCCTCAGCTCACAGTGTCGTCCCTTGCACTCAACTCAGTAGCTGGGCGACAAAACTATATTCTTTTAGTCTACAAATAGAGGAAAACACAATGGCCAAAGTATGTCAGAAGCAAATTAAACAGCGACCATCTATTCTGACACCATTCCAGGACATGGCAAAAAGAATCTTTCTGTTGTCTTCGCCCAGCTCTCTGTCCATAAAGAGCTTTTAAATCATGTTTCAGTTTTTCTTTCTTCATCTGAGGAAGTAATTGGGGTGAGCCCATTCACAGATGGCTGCCAAGGCCGCCCTTCCCAGAAAACGAGATCACATGTTTGGGACTGAGGCAGTTAGCAGGATGAGAACCAGAATCCTTCATCTCCTTCACTGGAAGTGGAAAAATAGTGAAGTAGAAAAGAACTGTTCAGGATTTTCAGCCATACACGTTTTATAAACCCAGAAACTGAACAAAACAACTGAAAAGACAAGATTCACTCGAATAAATTCTACATTGTTCTCACAGCTGTTAAACAATGATGTGGAGGTCGTACCAAGTAAGAGACTGGAATCTCATCGCGTAATATTCCCAAAGACCCACTGGTGGCATCCGGGTCCCCATTGTGGGGGATCCGGGCGCCCATTGGGGGGGGGGGGGGGGCGCAAGAACAGACCCACTGCTTCCCTAACCACCATGTTGCAGGATTCTGAATCTGTAGTTTATTACAACATAAAGAATGTTGGGTAGTCAAAAAAAGCATCCCAAATGAAATCTGCGGCTCACAGTATCACGCCATGTTTTAACTCAGCAGCTGGGCAATGGAACTATATTCTTTCAGCCACGATATGGAAACAAATGCAAGAAACAACTAACAAAAACAAACCCACCAATCTGCTATATTGACAAGAAGCCCTGAAAGCAGTGGATGCACTGTAACCAACCTCAACTGCAGAGAAGGCAGCAAAAATTTAAAAAAAAAGCAGAACAAGAAAAGATACCGTCTAAGCAGTTGTGACATTTGAGGAATCTTCCTATTTTGCAGTGAACCTTAAAAAGGCAGATGGCACTTTTTTTTAGTGGTTTACAGCTAGGTTGAGATATTTGCGCCTTTTGGTCTAACATATCTGATTTCAGCAAACCCATAATTAGTCGCCTTTTGTAACATATTAGGAAGCAGTGCCCCCCCCCCCCTCCACAAATAGGGCATCAGAACCCAAACAGGGAAACATCTGCTGTCAAAATGGAACAATCCAGTTGGGGGTTGGGAGGGGTCTAGCAAACAAACCTTCCATGATCCCGGTCTCTACTCCGACTCCGACTGTCTCTGTCCTTTGTTCTGTCTCTACGACTATCTGGACTTTTGTTTTCTTCCTCACTTTGATCTTCATAAGTGGCATCAAAGCCATCACAGTCATCGGTGATTTCAAACTCAGTGCTCATCTGTGGAGTTTCAAAAGTATTGATTCAGCTTGTTATAGATTCTTATTTACTTCATGTAAAAAAATAAAAAAAGGTATAAAGTCTGGAGATGTGAACCAGCGTCACTGCACACGGTTACACACCATAAGTGCTCTGCCACCAGTATGGACTGCTGATAAGTAAAACTGTTCCACCCGTGTCACCGTCTGCACGAAACTCCGTAGCTATAGCGACGTTCCTCCATTTACCCCAGAGTGGTACCCATTTCCTGGAGGCTGGGTGAACCCTAAAAATCACCCAGTGGTTTCGAACACCGGCCGTGGGCTAAAGCGAGTCACAACTGGATTGATTCGAAAACGAGTCACCTATCAACTGCGTTAAGGCAGTTACTTCATATCTTTATCTTTAACACAAGGACCCTTTTCATACTATAGGCTCAGTGAAAACTTGAAGCTAGGCTCGTTTCTATTATGTATAGACTGTGTGTCAGTGCAGCATACAATACCATCTGAGAGCCGACTAGCTGCCTTTAGCATGCTATTTCTAAACTCGGCAACTTCAGTGAACCGATGCACTGAAATTGTCAAAATATAATTGGGCAATGAAAAAATTAATTTTAACCAGTGTTACAGGTAACTATTTCTCTTTGGTGTTTCTTTCAAGACATCTTTATTAACAATGTTTTTATTTTGGTTGCCTACTTATAATGTAATAATTGTAATAAGTAGTATCACTAGTATTGTTCTCAAACTTGAAACTCATTATTCTTGAACTTCTAGCCCTTAACAATATTGAATATTTTTATGTGAAAACTTACACAAACAATGGATTGTGGCCCCTAGGGTCTGCATTTAAAGCATTGTCAATTAAGAACAGATAACCTCATTAACTCCCCTAGGGTTGTCACTGGAAGCATTGCCTCAATTTATTATGTTAGTTCATTCTACAAAACCAACTATCAGTAGTTAAACAAATTACTAATAGTCTAGTAGCTTCCAAATAATGGCTCTCCTTCGAACTTCATATATTGTGGCGGCCAAACAAATACCCTAACAGGGCCTCAGTCATGTGTAAAATGCTGACTTCCTCCTGCGAACACATCGCAGCAAAACTAGGATTACTGTCCGTTGACACATTCGAGAAATGCAACAATATACACGATAATAGCGACATGGCGGGGAGACCATGCGCTCCGACGCAGGTTGGCGATAGTGTTCTTAAAAAAAAACACAGCTGAGCGTATCACCGCGCCGCGTCCCATGGATTGGGGGCTAAATTAGATGGCTGGGACTTACGAGCAGTAGCTACTGCATCTCCTACAACTTCCTCAAATTTATTTGCTCGCGAGTCCCAGCTATCTAGTTTAGCCCCCAATTTGTGCGGCGTGAGGGATACTGTCGGCGGTGAGGCATTGTCGCAGAAACAGGTCCGCAATTAACATATCCCCTCAATAATATTGGCCCGTTATTCAGAGTTGATCCTAGTTTTGTCGCGATTTTTTCCTCATCAGGCACACTTCACATTTTACACACAACTGAGGCCCTGTTGGGATTTTTTTTTTAAAAAAATTATTTAGGGGATAGTGCGAACGCAGTCCCCATTACGGAAAAATTACGCACTCGAGTCACCCACATTTGGGGTGATCGCAGGCGTCAACCCAACCAAAGTGCAATGGAAGGGCCTCATCCTGGGAGCACGGCCTTGATGATCATCGTATTGTTTGGCGGCCACAATATGGAGACAAAGTTCGAAGGAGAGCCTAAATAATTATTACTACCAACTCTTAAATAGTTTGGCTCTACTCGGAATAACGGTCCCAAGATTAAACGGCGGAAAAACTAGGATTAACTACGGACAAAAAATTAGCGACATGCAAGAATACTCCAAATAGCGCTATCCTAAGGCATGGCCTCAATTATATGTAAGTTGCAGACTATAGTGCCACCTCAGAGAGTATCCCCCGGAGGTGGCACTATAGTCGCCGGAAAAAAGTCATGAGATACTTCTTACGTCAAGGGGTGGTCGGGATAGTAAAGCGCCATAGTGGCGAATGCTGGTTTGAAGTTGTCCCGAGGCGATATGCGCGTACATTAAAACGCGCATTACTGATTTTGTCTCGCCCGGAACAAGAATCGCGGACAAGCCGCGTCCTGTTCCCATCTTATTCGGGTGAGTTGGAATGGCGGACAGCCAGAAAGAACAGATATTCGCGCACTATTTCCAACTTCTGTGCCGCAATTTTCACATATAAAGGATTTAACTGTCGGTAAGTAGTAGACTTTGCCCTTTTCCTCGTACTTTTCGTTCCTTTATTTTTTCCGAGCTAGAACTTTTAAATGTTTGTAGGGCTGGACGTAATGAGGCTCTGTTAGGGTTTACTTTCTGCGTAGATAATTTGGGACCACTATTCGGAGTATAGCCAATATTTTCTTCCATTCTACCAAACTAATAATTCATTGCAAAACTCCAGTAGAAACTTCCGGTTTTGGTTCTGCTTCTGGACTTTAGTCTTTAATCTTGTTCCAGAACCTGAGTGCTACGTGCACATCTTACGGATCTGATATCTGTGTGCAGATTGAATTGCTAATCCCACTCAACTCACTGGCTCTAGCATTCAAAAGGAAGAGCCCGGGCAGTGATTCTCCCCCCTCCCCTGGTTGATGAGCTCTGTCTCTCAAGAGCACTATTAAGACTGATGTTCATTTCTGTAAGGCTGTTCTTTATGCCATCACTCCATATTTTCCGAGGTCTTCCACTCGCTCTATATAGCGACTACAGTTTCGACAATTTGTGGTCTTTTTGGCAATTTCCGTTACCATGGAAACCGTTTGAAACTTGTTTGGGAAATGTCGGCTGGGGTTTCGGGATGGGTCCTAATCTCTCATGAAATTTTGCGATTGGTGTGATTTTCACCCACTATAAAAAGCTGAAAACGGCGGGAAGGAACCCGATTAACAGCGCATGTCTACGCCAGCCGGACATCCTCTGTTTTTCTGTTGCACCAGTTTGATTGAAAATAGCGCTAAGTATTCACGGTTGGCTTTAAGGCCTTAAACATTAACAGACATGGTAATGCTAGTTACAATTGAATTCTCCGTCCAATTTTACATTTGTGTATAAAATTTCTTTCTTATCTGTGGCTGTTTCGATTTACAGTGAAATTTTTCATGCAATCGCTATTATGTGGCTGTGTCTGAGAAAAATTGTCTGCCATGTTGTCCAATGAAAACAAAGCCAAAACGAAAGTTGCGCAGTTTGGTTGCGCAGAGAAAACTTCTTGTTTCTCAGACACAAGTTTTAGTTTTAGCAGCTGTTTTTTACATCTTATCTCCACAAAAACCTACATATCTCAGCTCAGAAATGACATACAAGCCTAAATGAGGTACCATTGGAAAGAGATTGTTTACAGCTATCTAACTGTGCTGGTTTTATTGGTGTAGGTAGAGGGCATTTTGAAAATTTGACTAAAGTAACTACACTACTCTATACCCGTTGTAACGTTTCAGAGTGGCTCGCTGTGGCAGATAGTACCAGGGCATTCTTTTTAGGTGTCCAAAGCACTTCATTTGTTGTTCTTTGATGACCTGTAAGACTCAAAGACTGGCTTTATTCCTAGCATTCGATTTTATGATTTCGTATTGGCACTACTCAACTGGACAAATGTTATTAATAAATCGTCAAATCTATTTCAGTATCAAGATATACACTTGTACATCCTAATGTAGATGAAATAAAAGAGCATAGCGCTGCTAATATTAATCCATCCATATTTTAGAAACTCATAAACAATGAATAAGCTGTTGAAATCTATATGTACCTTACGATTTGCAACGGTCCACCATCCACTCTAAGAATAAAATGGCGTTAGTGTCTAGTGATGTCATAGACCGTAACGTCACTTCCGTTTATTTTTGTTCCAACCAGATTTTCATTTTACATCCAACACATCAAAATGCGATTTAAAATGAGAGGACTAGAATAACAATCTACAGCACGGTTAAAGTGTCAAATAACAAAAGAAACAATCACCAAAATATCTTCTTCTTCTTCTGCCTTTCTATCCCCCAATGAAGCATAGGCCCTCAACCAACTCACGCCAAATCGTTCCATCCTTCGCCATTGCATGGAGCTCTCCCCATTTCCTCCCAATCTTTCTAACCTCATTCTCCAGCTCTCTTCTCCATGTGTTTTTTGGCCTTCCTTTATTCCTATGCCCCTGTGGGTTCCCATGCAAAGACATTCTAGTTATGCTGTTCTCCTGTTTTCTCGGTGTGTGCCCTATCCAACGCCAGCGTCTTTTCCTCACCTCCTGATCCACTGAAGCCTGTTTAGTTCTCTCCCAAAGTTCTACATTAGTTATTCTATCATACCATTTTATTCCCTCTATTCTGCGCAGGCACCAGTTAATAAATGTCTGTAATTTATTAGTAATTGCCTTGGTTGTTCTCCATGTTTCATCCCCATACAATAGTACTGATTTGACATTAGAATTAAAAAATTTTAGTTTAGTATTTCTTTTAATTTCTTTTGACCTCCACAAATTCCCTAGTGCTATGAAAGCTCCTCTTGCCTTTTGTATTCTTATTTTAATATCTCTATCAGTTCCTCCATCTTTATCTACATTACTGCCTAAATACGACTCCACGTCTTGGAGTGAAGTGCCACTAAGAGAAACCACATTACTATTTGCCTGATTCATTCTCATTATCTTTGTCTTTCCTTTATGGATTTTCAGACCAAGTTGATGTGATCTCGCATTAAGTATATTTAATTTATCTTGTATCTGATTCCGTGAATGGGAAAGAAGAGCAATATCATCAGCGAAGTCCAGATCATCAAGCTGTTTTGTAGGGGTCCACTGAATTCCATTATTGGTGTTAGCAGTTACTGTTTTTATAGTCCAGTCTATGGCCAGTAAAAATAAGAGAGGCGACAAAAGACATCCCTGACGCACACCTGTTTTTATTTCAAATGCATCTGTTAGCTTTCCCTCATGAAGAACTCAACATTTCATGTTTTTA